CCAGCCCCGGAGGGGTGTCTCCACCCAGGATGTGGCCATCCAGGTGGGGTAGTGTCCATGTGGCCCCATGCCCCTGCCCCCTGGCCTGGCCCTGAGAGGCGTCCACTGCTCCGAGGGTGAAGACCAGACCCACGCACAGGGGAGCCCTCAGCGCCCCACCCATGAGAGCCCAGCCCCAGCCCCACGGGAGCCGGTGCACCCCGGCCCCAGCCCCCTCTGCCTCTCATTCCCCAGCCACGGGAGCCCGGAGCACCCTGACCCCAGCCCAGCCCTCACCCGACTCGGAGCAGGCCCTCCGCAGGGACTCCACCCGGACCAGCACTGTACTTGTGTGCACCTGTCGGGCTCACACCTGCTCCCAGGTGCACAGCAGCAAAGGCCAGGGTGAATCCACACCCTCGCCCCCATCCCTGGGCGGTCGGGCTCCAAGGAGTAGGGAAGGCGGGCCCTTCCGCAGCAAACATCAGCTCCCCTGGGGCGGAGCTCCTCTGGAAGGCTTCCCGGAGGAGGAGGCGGCGGGCGGCGAGGCCTGAAGGAAGTCAGGCTCGACTGAGGACCGGAATCGGGATACGGAGGCGCGCGTCCGCCGGGCGGTCACGTGGACCCAGCGGCCAGGTGAGGCGGCAGGTGCGGGGGCCGCGCCCGCCGCGCGTTCCCGGCCGGACCCTGGGCTCGGAGCCGCGCCGGGCCGGGGACGCACCTGCCGGGCCCGGAGCGCCCTCCCCGCCGCGGGCCGCACAGGAAGTGGGGTGGAGCCGCGCCCCGGACCCGGTGCCGCCCAGGCTGGGCCCGCGCAGTCGCTCCGCTCCTCCGCCCAGGGCGCAGGTGAGTCGGGACCCGGCTGGGCCGGGGGTGGGGAGGGCACCGTGGCGCCAGGTGCACCCCGGCTTCGCGCCAGCCGCTCCCCGAGTCCGAGGGGACTTGGCGGCGGGCGGGGCGCACGTCCGGCCCGGAGCTGGGACTCCCTCCGGGCGGCGGGGCCGGGGCGAGCGCCCGGAGCTCTGGGCTGCGCCTGCCGCGCTCTCCGAAAGCTCCGGTCCCGCTTCCTGGCTGGAGCCGGGCTCCGCCGAGCCTGTGGTCTGCAGTCGGGAAATGCAGCGGGGCCCTGGGCCCGTCGGGCGGGCAGGGGAGAGAGCTGGAGGCACTGCCCGTGGCAGCGGGCAGGTGGCCGTGGGGAAATGCCCCGAGGCTCCCAGGCCCGCCCGGGGTCTCCCCTATGGTGAGCCGGGCCGGGCCAGCAGGGGGTCCCCCACACTGCCACACCTGAGTGACCTGCTGCCTGGGCATTATGGTGTTGGCACGGTGGGCGTGGTGGCTGGGCCGCTCCGAGGGCTAGCGGCTGCCCAGCTCCTGCTCTGGGGACACAGTCCCGGCTCTGCCGCCGCTGGGGTCCCCAGAGGAAATGCTGGGCAGGAGACCCCAGGCCTGGTGGGAGGGGAGGGGTCTCAGGGGACCCCAGCAATGAGAGAGTCCAGTGGGGCCCCTGGCCTTGCTCCGGGGGTCTGGCCCCGGGAGCCCTGCCCACAGCAGCTCTTCCCCACGCACAGCCCTGGGAGCAGGCAGGGAGGTCTGGGGGAGCCCGGGGTCCCCGCGGGGCTGGTGTTGCGGCCTTGGTCCGGCACTTTCGGTTTCGGAACAGCTCCCGGCTGCTGTGCTCAGTGACCGTGGCCTGGTGGCATCTCTGTCTCCAGTGACTTGGGGTGGCGTTCAGGGTCAGGGCACAGCTCCTGGCCTGGGTTGCTCACCTGGGAGGAGGAGGGGTGTCCGGAGGGTGCTGTGTGCCTGCCCACTGCACAGCCGGGACCCATCGCCTGCTCAGGCACTTCAGAGTCACGGCTCTGCTGTCCCACCCCGTATTCCCCTGGGAGAGCCCTGGCCTGACTTGGGCCCGTCCGGTTCAGAGACAGGTGGTGGCCGTGGGCTGCCAGCTGAGCCAGGCAGCGTCCAGGGCTGGGCACACTGCTCTGGCTTCCTCCCTTTTGCTTTCTTGGGGGCCTCCCGTGCCCTGTGGGTGTTGAGTTACGTCCTGGACCTCAGCCCGCGAGATGCTGGGGTTGTTGACGGCATTGTCTCTGGCCGAAGCTCAGCACTCCCTGGGGCCCCTCGCCGTGCTGTGCGGTTTCCAGAGCCGGCTCCTGTCCCGGGCCCTGGCTTGGCCAGACAGAATTACCAGAGCACAAGGCTGTATTGTGGGCTGGCCCGGCAGGTGCTGCAGAACCCAGCCTGCTGCAAGAATGGGGACAGAGGCGTGGCACCGAGCCCCCTGCCCTGTGCAGGTTAGCTGTGAAAGGCAGATTGGGCAGGGTCACGTGGGGGTGACTTCATGTGGGGGTGCATTCCTCCCCCCCCCCCCCCCCCCCGCTGCTCCTGGAAGCACACGGGGACCCTTGGGGAGATTTGAAAAATACTTATTGATCTACTTATTGAGAGGCACTGTTAGAGTTTCCAGCTGCTGGATCGTGCTCCAAGAGGTTGCCCCAGCCAGGGCTGGACCAGCCAAAGCCAGGAGCCAGGAGCCAGGGCTGAACCAGGCCAAAGCCAGGAGCCAGGAGCCAGGGCTGAACCAGGCCAAAGCCAGGAGCCAGGAGCCAGGGCTGAACCAGGCCAAAGCCAGGAGCCAGGAGCCAGGGCTGGACCAGGCCAAAGCCAGGAGCCAGGAGCCAGGAGCCAGGAGCCAGGGCTGGACCAGGCCAAAGCCAGGAGCCAGGAGCCAGGGCTGAACCAGGCCAAAGCCAGGAGCCAGGAGCCTCTTCCTGGGCTCCCGGGAGCAGGGCCAAGCACGTGGCTGTCTTCCTTCTGCAGCTTTCCGAGATGGGAGCAGGGGGCAGATCGGAAGTGGAGCAGCCGGGATGCGGTGCTGCAGCAGTGGCTTAACCTGTCTACCCGGCACCAGCCCCCAGGGCTAATGGAGCGCTTCCCAGCCCAACCTGAGTGACCACGCCAGGGGATGCTGGGTTCCCGGTGCTCCGAGAAAGCCTGTACTTCATGGGTGCCTGGGAACTCAGCGTTGATGGAGAAGACCCCAGGGTGGCACGGGGTCAGTACTGGGCGTTCGCTCTCCACTTGTGAATGGGAAGTGACCCAACCCACAGAGGGCTTCAGAGTTTGGGGGAGACCAGAGGGAGGAGTGACACTCTTGGCCGGCATTTCCTGGAGGGCAGCCTGCCCTTGTCCTGGCTTCAGGACCCCAGGCCGAGTCCAGTGCCCGGGGAGCCCTGGAGGAGCAGCCAGGCCTTGGGTTGCTGCAGCTGAAGGGCCGGGAGCCAGGCCAGCCAAAAGGGGCGCTGGTCCTGTGAGTTTCCGGCTTCCCTGCTGGGAGGGGCTGTGATCAGCAGCTGTGGGGCAGCAGAGAAGGACAGCCCCTCCCCCAGCAGCAGCCCCTCCCCCAGCAGCAGCTCCTCTGAGATCCTACGATGCTCTGCCCCCCAGGAGAGCAGGGGGCAGGCAGGCAGGGGAGAGGAGGAGGGGCTGGCAAGACGGTCCAGTCAGGTCCTGACCCTCCCTGCCTCAGGTCACAGGTGGCAGAGGGGGAGGAGCCAGACCCAACACAGCACAAACCCAGCCGAATTTGGGGATATGGTGGGGTGCAGAGCAGAGGGGGCGTAGAGACAGGCAGCAGGGGGTCTGTCAGGGCCTGCGGGCAAGGGGCAGCGTGGGAACGCCACCTGGTGCTGTGACCCCCCACCAGCCGTCTCCACGTGGGGCAGGGTCCCAGCTCCCCCTTCGCCTGGACCCCAGCGGAGATGCCCCAGGCTGGGGGTGTGTCTGAACCCCAGCTGGGCTGGCTTGCCTGGCAGGTTCCACTCCCACGGCTGCTTCCTTCTGGCTCAGTGGACTTCGGCCTCTGCTGGGAGGGGCCTGTCAGATGGTGTGTCAGTAACAGCAGGAGCCACAGCACAGGACCCGGGTGGACCCTTCAGTGACCCACCCCCTGGGGGAGGAAACCTCGCTGATGGTGTAGGCGCCACCCAGATGTCCCAGTGTTCAGCAGGCTGGCTAGCTGGGTAGATGGCATGGCATCAGGTTGGCACAGAGGGACTCGGGTCGGGCACCTGCTCGGGGAGGCTGGCATGGACTCGGGTCAGGAATGTGTTGAGGAATGCCGCCTTGGCCGTGGATGTGGGGGCAGCTGGGCTCAGGGCTGCTCCTCCTGGTGGCTTCTGCACTCCGCGCCCTGGGGCCCTGCAGCTGTCCTGGCGGCAGGCGGTGGGGCTGGCCAGCAGTGTGTGAGCTGGGCTGGGACTGGGCGCCCCCTCCAGTCCCAGGCATGGCTGGCTGGGACTCCCCAAGTCCCCCTGGGATGCGAGGGGGTGTCTGGTGGCACCCCAGAGCCACAGGGAAAGGACAGGGTGGACAATGCAGCCCAGCTGTGTTCCCGGACTCACTCCCACCTTGTTATGGTTGGGACTACAGGGACATTTCACAAAGTCCCTGGAAAAGAGAATTAAGAGATTGTTTTGGTGGGAAAAAGAAAAAAAAGTCTTGAAGTGTATGCATATACAGAACCTTAAAAACAGTGGAGCCAGTGTTGTGGCGTGGCACATGAAGCCACTTGCTGCAGTGCCGGCATCCCATATGGGCACGAGTTTGAATCCCAGCTGCTCCACTTCCCACCATGCTCTCTGATACTCGGTGGGCGTGTGTTATGACAAATATTATGTAGATTTTAACTCAAACTTGCACCTGGACAAGCTTTGTTGCATTTGAGCAGACTGTCAGGGGTCCCGGATGAGACGCTGCCCCGCAGCAGTCCTGCAGGTTGTAGGGGTGAGTGGAGGCAGTGAGTACAGCCAGGGCCTAGTCGCACCCTGACCTCACCTCGGCCACACACCCCAGTGGGGACAGTGACCTGTGTCCTGCCTGTGCCTGCCACCTGCAGCCCCTCCTGGTGCCAGCTGCTGGGAGCTGTGCCAGACTCCGGCCAGGGCCAAGGTAGGCACTGCACAAGGTCCCCTCCTGAGCCCACCCTGCCCTCGCCCCAGGACCTGGCGCCCCCCGGCATGGCCCACAGGCATTCGGATGGCTCTCTGGAGGAGAAAATTCTGGAGCAGCGTTTCCACTCGGAGCTGCGCCTCGACGCCAATGGGGACCCCGTGTTTGCGCTCCCCGTGGTCCGCAGCTCCCTGCACTCCAGGACCAATGCGGCCTTCCAGCCCGACGTCCTGGCACCCCCGGGCGGGCAGGAGGAGCCGCCGCCCGTGGTCCTGAGCACGCAGAGCCCCGCGGCACTCAAGATGGGCACACAGCAACTGATTCCACGCAGCCTGGCCATGACCAGCAAGGCCAAGTCCCCCGCCCGGCACCAGAGCTTCGGGGCGGCCGTGCTCAGCAAGGAGGCCGCCCGGCGGGAGCCCCGGCTCCAGGCTGCCCCCAGCTTCTCCCAGGATGACATGGACATGGGCCCCGGGGGGCTGCTCAGGCGGAACCTGAGGAACCAGTCGTACCGTGCGGCCATGATGGACCTGGCCACCCCGGGCAGCAAGGGGAACCCCACCCAGCTCAGCCCCAAGCTCCAGGCCCTGGCTGAGGAGCCCAGCCAGCCGCCCACCCGCTGCCCGGCCAAGAACAAGGTAGGAAGCCTGCTTGTGGGGAGGGCCCCCGTCACCCCATCTTCTGCATCGTGACAGCTTCTGTTTAGTGAGCACCTACTGTGTGCAGACTGGTTGATTCCAGGCTGTGGTTGTGATTAGCCCACTTTCTAGGCACGACCACGGAGGCAGACCGTGGCAGCCCTGCTCCCTGCCAGTGGAGGGCACAGAGTGACCAGCCGCCTGTGACGGCCCAGCCACGGGGCTGGCTCTGCTTGCTCACTCATTCCCTCTCCCCCTCGCTGTGGATGCCCACGTGCGGCTGCCCCTTCCCCCCAGCCTGAGAGGCGTCTCCGCATTCCCTCCACATACAGGCACGTGTGTGTGCCCACCGCTTTCTGCCTGCTGGCCCTGGCTCCAGGCTGGCTGCAGCAAGTGCCACACCCTTCCCCTAGGGCCCAGGGTCAGTGCAGGCTGGTGCAGCCTCCTGGACCATGTCCCTCGCCCTCTGAGTCACTGTCCCGGTGGCTGGGCACCTGCTGCGGGCAGCCACTACGCTGGAAGGCCAGGTGCCAGAAGTTCTATCCAGTATCCAGGCACCATCACCCTCCCCTTCCTGGTCCAGGCTGGGATGCAGGGACCTCAGCTGGGGTGGTAGCTGCCGTGTGACCCACGGCAAGTGCCAGGGTGCTGGCTTCCTCACTGGTCAGTGTGGATGACCCGTGGAGGCCACAGCGGCCTTCCCAAGGGACTGGCATGCGGCCAGGGCTGCTGGGAGCTGCAAGCCACCCCGGGAGGTTGGGAACGTGGAGGATGCTGGGCCCAGCTGCCAATGCTGGCCCCAGTGCCAGCTCAGCTGTGGCTGTGGAAAGAGCCCAGGTCGCACCAGCCCCTGTCTGTGCCCTGGGTGCCTGCCAGGGGCTGGCCACCAGCCAGTCTGACCCTGCTCCTGCTGCTGCCATCGGGGCTCCGCATGCAGCCCCAGTGCCCCCCACCCCACTGGGCCTTTCCCAGCCACAGCTGCCCGGATTCCAGTTTTATGGGCCCACATCCCAGCATGCCTGGTCCCTGGCTCAATCCTTCCTCCAGCTCCAGGCAGCCCTCCTGGACTTGCCCCACCCTCAGTCACCCGTCCCACCTGCTCTGAGCCCCCATCCTGGCCCTTGTGGGAGTGACATTATTGAGCACCCTCTGTATACCTCCCATACATGCACACACACACACACACGTAAGGCACACTGGGACCCTCTGCGCGTGGAGCGAGTGAGGCCCAGCGCCCAGCGTTGCTGTGGACCGTCCTGGCCCCTCGCTGACGGGTGCTGTTCTTGTCCCTGTAGAGGACGCTGGGGCGGAAACGTGTGACCAAGGGCTCCTTCAAGGATGGTGAGTACTTGGGGCAGGATCGAGGGGGGCCTGCCCTGGGGGTGCTGGAGGACATGGTTTTTTTGCCGGAGCCTTCTGGGCACGCAGGTCCCAGTGGCCACTCTACAGCTCTGATGGAGAAGTCTAGAAAGTTCCCTTGGGACCCAGTCCCTCAGTGATGCTGGGCCTGCCCTGCTGGTGGGAGCGGGGCCAGGTCAGAGGCCACTGGCACTAGCAGTTACGGGCACTCCTGCTGGCCACGGCCCTGGTGGGGCTGGCAGTGCATGGAGTGAGGGGAGATGCCGGCTTGTCTGGGTTGGAGTGCTGGGGGCGGGGAGGAGCAGTGACTCGGCCAGCAGGGCCCTTGCTTCCTGCCAGCCCTGAGTGGCCACGGCAGGTTGGGTTCTGAGCTCTTCCATGAAATCCTCCTCCAGGAGGGTGGCCATGATTTCACCGAGCCTTGGGGCAGGCTAGAGGTGTTACTGCTTGCCGCCCCCCTCCGCACCAGGCAGGGCCTAGCTGTGCCCCTGTAGAGGTGCCGCACCCCACACCTAGCCGCCAGCCCACCCCCGACTCAGCCCATAACTGCTAGGGCCACTGTCCTTGGGGGGTCCCGGGGGCTCTGCTTCCTCCAGGGCCAGGCCCTCAGGAGGCTCATCTTCCCGCCCAGACCCCCGCTTCTACCAGGAGATCCGGGAGCGGGGCCTCAACACGAGCCAGGAGTCGGACGAGGACCTGCTGGAGGGGCCCCCCAGCCCGGAGGAGGCCCGCAGGGGGGACAACATTGTGGTTAAGAGCTACCGGCCCGCCCAGCTCACCTGGAGCCAGCTCCCGGAGGTGGGATGGGCGACACGGGAGCCTCCCCGAAGGCTGCCCTGGGAGAGGAGGGTCAGGGCCAGCAGTGTCCCCTGCGGTCATGTGGTGGTGGGCAGAGAGGAGCCGGCAGCCCGGCTTCCCAAGCCTGGAGATGGCGTGGGCCTGCTGTCCAGGCTGGTCTCGGCTAGGGCTGGACTTGAGCTGCAGCCCGTGTGTGGGCACATGGCCAGCACTTCCCTGAGAGGGCCCAGCTGGCTGCCCACTCTGGGCAGAGAGGGTGGGTTGTAGGTCTCGCCCAGCTGGGTTACATACCTGAGACCCTGACCAAGCAGGAACTAAGGGGCGTGACTTGCATTACACTTCAGGCAGTGTGGTCCCTGGCCTATGGGGACACAACGTGCGTGATGCCGGTGGCCCTGCGTCCTGCAGAGGGCTCGGGCTGTGCTGCTGCCCGGCTGTGGCACCACGCAGGCCAGGCCCACCCACCTGCCCTGAGTGCTGGAGCCTCGGCCCTCTTCCCCTTCTCGGATGAGCTGCTCCCTCGGGGAAGGCCTAGGGACCAGAGCACCTCCTAACACTCGGGGGGTGGACCACAAGTGCCTGGGCAGGGCGGTGTGCCGGGGCAGGGCGGTGTGCCGGGGCCCCGTGCCCATGCTGCAGCTGGTCCTCTCAGGGAGCTTCAGCAGTGCCCTGGGCCCACTGCCAGGCGAGCACCTGCTCTGACACACACCCTTGGGCTCCAGGTAGTGGAGCTGGGAATCCTGGACAAGCTGAGCCCTGAGGAACGCAAGAGGCAGGAGGTGAGGGGGCAGTGGGGCGTGGGAGGGGGCTGGGATGGAGCCGTGCTGACCGCCCACGTGGGTGGGAGGAGGGCTGCCATTCCTGACTCCTGGAAGGGGTGGGGCGTCCCTGCCCCGTCATGCGCACCTCTGGGGGAGCCAAGCCCCCGCACAGACCAGGGATGCCCGGCTCACATTCCACCAGGCCATCGGGGGGTTCCCAGAGCCCACCTGCATCACACCTGTTCATGTACCCCTGGCGCCCGTGCCCAGCCCCCCTGCACCTGTGCCCAGCCCCCCATCCTGTGCCCATTCCCAGCCTCTGTACCCCTGCTCAGCCCCCCGGCCCCCATGCGCACACCCAGCTCAGTACCCCACACCCAGCCCCCCATCCTGTGCCCAGCCCCCACACCCAGCGCCTATACCCCTGTCCAGTCCCCCCATCCTGTGCCCACTTTCAGCCCCCGGCCGCCATGCCCACTCCCAGCCCCCGGCCGCCGTGCCCACCCCAGCCGCCGTGCCCACTCCCAGCCCCCATCCTGAGCCCACTCCCAGCCCCCGGCCGCCGTGCCCACTCCCAGCCCCCGGCCGCCGTGCCCACCCCAGCCCCCGGCCGCCATGCCCACTCCCAGCCCCCGGCCGCCGTGCCCACCCCAGCCGCCGTGCCCACTCCCAGCCCCCATCCTGAGCCCACTCCCAGCCCCCGGCCGCCATGCCCACTCCCAGCCCCCGGCCGCCGTGCCCACCCCAGCCCCCGGCCGCCGTGCCCACCCCAGCCCCCGTCTCCACAGGCCATCTTTGAGATCCTCACCTCCGAGTTCTCGTACCTGCACAGCCTCGGCATCTTGGTGGCCGAGTTCCTGCACTCGTCGGAGCTGCGGGCCACCATGACACACACAGACCATCACCACCTCTTCTCCAACATCCAGGACGTGCTGGCGGCCAGCCGCAGGTGGGCCCGGCCCCACCCCACACCCCCTCCCCAGCTGCGGAAGCAGCATCCACCGCAGGCCTCGGGGATGGGTGGAGCTCGTGGCCGGGGATGGGTCCACGAGCACCTGCCATGGGGCACAGCCCTGCCCTGCTGACTGCGCCTGCCCCCACGCCCGAGGGCGCCTCGAGTTGCAGTCCAGGTCCTGTTGCACCACAAGGTGTCCTGTGGCCAGTGGAGGCTCTTCCATTACAGGGCATGTGGCGGAGGCGGGGTTGGGTGACTCCTGCCCCCCTGCAGGTGCAGGCTGGGTGTGCCCCTGTGCAGGCTCAGTCCTGTGCCAGCTCAGCCCTGTGTGGGCTCTGTCCTGTGCCAGCTCTGCCCCGTGCCGGCTCTGTCCCGGGCGGGCTCAGCCCCGTGCGGGCTCTGTCCCGGGCGGGCTCAGCCCCGTGCGGGCTCTGTCCTGGGTGGGCTCTGTCCTGGGTGGGCTCAGCCCCGTGCCGGCTCTGTCCTGGGTGGGCTCAGCCCCGTGCGGGCTCTGTCCTGGGTGGGCTCTGTCCTGGGTGGGCTCAGCCCCGTGCCGGCTCTGTCCTGGGCGGGCTCAGCCCCATGCGGGCTCTGTCCCGGGCGGGCTCAGCCCCGTGCGGGCTCTGTCCTGGGTGGGCTCAGCCCCGTGCGGGCTCTGTCCCGGGCGGGCTCAGCCCCGTGCCGGCTCTGTCCTGGGTGGGCTCTGTCCCGGGCGGGCTCAGCCCCGTGCGGGCTCTGTCCTGGGCGGGCTCAGCCCCGTGCCGGCTCTGTCCTGGGTGGGCTCTGTCCTGGGCGGGCTCAGCCCCGTGCCGGCTCTGTCCTGGGTGGGCTCTGTCCTGGGCGGGCTCAGCCCCGTGCCGGCTCTGTCCTGGGTGGGCTCTGTCCCGGGCGGGCTCAGCCCCGTGCGGGCTCTGTCCTGGGCGGGCTCTGTCCTGGGTGGGCTCAGCCCCGTGCGGGCTCTGTCCTGGGTGGGCTCAGCCCCGTGCGGGCTCTGTCCTGGGTGGGCTCAGCCCCGTGCCGGCTCTGTCCTGGGTGGGCTCAGCCCCGTGCGGGCTCTGTCCTGGGCGGGCTCAGCCCCGTGCCGGCTCTGTCCTGTGTTGGTGCATCTTTTCCTGAGCCTCATCCTTTAACCGCCGGTTCTTGGGGTGCCCGTGGGGTCACTGCCAGGGTCTGCCAGGCAGAGGCAGCCCACCCCTCGTGGAATGCCCTGAGGACAGGCCAAGCAGGGTCAGAGGCAGCATGGGGACGGTCCATTTCCCAGGAATGAGGACTTCCCGTGGGACTTTGTGACAGGATGTGGGAAACTCCCCTGCCTTGATTGGGGGTGGGGGCAGGCTGAGGGGCACCCGCGCTGGGCACCCCGAAGGCTGCAGCCTCCGAGCTCCCTGGGGACATGGCGCTGGGTCAGCCCTGCAGCTGGAGGCCAGAGGCACAGCCGCCCACTGGGCCTGGCGGACTCGGCTGCTGTGGCTCCCCGGGGCCCGGTGGCCCACGCGGCTCTCATGCAGGTGGAGGAACCAGAGGACGCCCACCCAGCCCCCAGCTAGAGACGGGGCTCCTCACGCAGATGGCCGGGAGCTGCCCGGAAGCAGGCCAGCGCTGAGGCAGGGGACTGTCCCCTTGAGCCGGGGACTGGATTCCTGAGCGTCCCGGACAGCTGCAGGCAGGAGGAACGGGAGCTCCAGTTGCTTCCAGTGGGGGCAGCTGCTCCGTCCAGGCCTCGTCTAGGCCATGGCTGCCCCTCAGGCCCCGCCTGGCAGGAGCTGCTGTCCACGGGTGTGGGGGTGGACCCCGGACCCAGCCTCACCATCCCCGCCTGCCTGCAGGTTCTTCGAGGACCTGGAGCGGCGACACAAGGAGCAGGTGTGGGTGGAAGACATCAGCGACATCCTGGAGGAGCACGCCGAGCACCACTTCCACCCCTACGTGGCCTACTGCACCAATGAGGTCTACCAGCAGCGGGCACTGCAGCGGCTCACGTGTGTGCGGGGAGGGGCCTGTGGCTGCAGGGGCGGGGCCTGTGGCCATGGGCGGGGCTAGCCTGGGAGGGTGGGGCCTGTGGCCATGGGCGGGGCTAGCCTGGGAGGGTGGGGCCGTGTGCATGGGCAGGGCTAGGCTGGGGCCTGTGGCAGCAGGGGCGGGGCTAGGCTAGGAGGGTGGGGCCTGTGGCAGCAGGGGCGGGGCTAGGCTAGGAGGATGGGGCCTGGGGGCGGGGCTAGCCTGGGTGGGCGGGGCCTGTCTTAGCGGGGCGGGGCCTGGCCTCCAGGACTCCGCCCCAGCCACAGCCTGGTCCTTCTGCAGAAGCAGCAATGCCGCCTTCCGCGAGGTCCTGCAGGCGATCGAGCGGCGGCCGGCGTGCGGGGGCCTGCCCATGATCTCCTTCCTCATCCTCCCCATGCAGAGGGTGACCCGGCTGCCGCTCCTGACGGACGTGAGTGGTGGCAGTGGGGAGGCCAGGGTGGGCCACCGGCCACAGGGACCCCTTGCAGGGCGAGCGGATGTTTGCGCCCCCACACCCAGCCCTGCCGCACACGTGCTTGCCTGCATCTGTGACAGCTGTGCCCCCAGTGCTAGCAGGCACGGACACGTGTGTACACGCACAGCGTGCACACGTATACCCTGCACACACGTGTGCTTGTTACAGACCTGCACACATGGACGCACGTGCTTGTGTGCACACAGCAGAGTCACGCACAAGCCCAGCCTCGCAGGCACTGGGCCCTGGGGAGGTGGGGCAGGGCCGCCAGCTCCATGGTGATGGCCGAGGCAGGGCAGGTGCCAAGGGGTTCCTGGAGGTCTGTGCAGGCCCCACTCCCCACTCACCTCACCTCCTGGGTCTCTACAGACGCTCTGCCTCAAGACAGAGGGCCACCCGGAGAGGTACAAGGCGGCCAGCCGGGCCCTGAAAGCCATCAGCAAGGTGAGGCGGGGGCTGGCAGGGAGGGGTGGGGCCTGGCAGAGGAGGCGGGGCCCAGCCAGGAGGGGCAGGCCTTAGTCCCTCAGCCCTGGGTTAGCTCAGGAGAAGGAGGGCAGACACATGTCCAGCAAGGCAGGTAGGCAGGGGGCTCACCAGGCAGGTGGGGCGCAGCCTGCCCACCACAGCGCCCACCCCGCAGCTGGTGAAGCAGTGCAACGAGGGGGCACACTCAATGGAGCGCATGGAGCAGCTGTGTATGCTGCAATCGCAGCTCGACTTCGGCAAGGTCAAGGTAGGCGCCCCACCCCTGTCCATCTTGCTCTCCCTGCTGCCCCCTGCTCAAGTCAGCCTTCCTGGTTCTGGGGTGTCCGCCCCCTGGCAGGCCTGGGGGCTGGGCCTCGGTCCCTCCTGTGGGGGTACAGCCGCCAGCAGGTGCCTCACAGGGCTGCCCTGGACCACCGACCCTGCCCTGGGCAGTGAGGTCTCACGCCTGCTTCAGTCCAGCTCTAGCCAGGGGTGGCGGGCGGGCCCCAAGTTCATGCCAGTGCCCACAGCAGCGCTGGCCTGCCCGCTCTGTCCCCCAGTCCCTGCCACTCATCTCGAGCTCACGCTGGCTGCTGAAGCGAGGAGAGCTCTGGGTGGTGGAGGAGGCTGGGCTCCTGAGGAAGCTCGCCAGCCGGCCCTCACTCCACCTGTTCGTCTTCAATGATGTCCTGCTGGTCACCAAGAGGAAGAGGTGGGCTGGGGGCAGGGCGGTGGGCCACGGGGGCGGGCCGGGGAGCCGGGGCTGGCCAGCCACACTGGACACACCGCCCTGCCCACGTGGGCATCCGCGTGGCTCTCGTGTGCACAGCCAGGTCACAGGTGCGGCAGGAGCTCAGGTCCTCTGTCATGTGTTGCTGAGGCGCCCACACTGCTGGGAGGGGACGGGGCAGGGGGCAAGGCGCTGGCTGCAGTGAACCCTGCTTCCCGAATCCCTGCAGCGAGGAGAGCTACGCAGTCCAGGACCATGCCCACATGGAGCACGTGCAGGTCACCAGGCTGGAGCCCTCGGAGGCCTCACTGCCCGGCGGTGGCCGCGGCTCCTCGGTGCCTCACCCCTTCCAGCTGCTGCTGCTGCAGAACAGCGAGGGCCGCCAGGAGCAGCTGCTGCTGTCCGCTGACTCCGCGTAAGGCGCCTTGCCCTGGGCTCGAGGCTCCCGGGAGGGATGGCGGGTGGACGGCCTGCTGCCAAGGCCCCAAGGCAGAAGTGTGGGGTGGCGTGGGAGGGCAGCAGAAGGAGCTGGCACAGTGAGGGGTTGGGGGCTCAGGGCGGGAGAAGGGTGGCCCAGTGTATGCTCCCTGCCATCCTAACAGGGGCTGCTCCCCAGAATGGCAAGACTGGGACGTGGGTCCAGGGAGGCACCTGTCACCCTCGGATCAGGGCGACTGTGGCGGGCCCAGACATCCTCCGGTGCTCCTCCTCACCCCCTGTCCTGGGCAGGGGTGGCTGAAGCCACGGGACAGCTCGCTGGGGGCTGGCCCGGGCCTCTCTCACACTGTGTGTCCTCCAGGAGTGACCGGGCACGGTGGATCACAGCGCTCACCTACAAGGAGAGGCAGTGGCACAGTTCCAGCAACAAAGGAGGTGAGCCAGGCAACAGGCCCCGCCTGCAGGGCGTGCACCCCTGCCCTGCCCCTTGGCAGCCCTGCCTGCAGGGCGTGCACCTGTGCCCTGCCCCTTGGCAGCCCCTCCTGAGCTGGCTGCGCCCACCCCAGGGAGCAGGAGCGCCCTCTGCCGGTACCAGGCCCCAAGAGCAGGTGCTCCTGTGTGGCGGGACACCCAGGGCTCCCCCAGGCAGGGCCGTGGGGAAGGGGCAGGTGGGAGGCAGAGCCTGGTCTGCCTGGGGCCTCCGGAAGCTCAGTGCCGCTGGTGCCCACAGAGCTGCCGCAGGCGGAGATCACCAAAGCGTACTTCGCCAAGCAGACGGACGAGGTGACGCTGCAGCAGGCGGATGTGGTGTTAGTTCTGCAGGAGGAGGATGGTGAGCAGGGCCAGGGTGCCCGAGGCTGAGCGAGCAGCTGGGCTCCCCAGGGAGGGAGTCAGGGGCCCTGGGTCCTGGAGTCTGGGTTAATCCCCGTCGCTGTGTCCGAGCAGGGGAGGAGGCGTCTGCGCTTGCAGGTCCCTGCTCAGCACCCAAGGCGGCTGAGTGCCAGGGGTGGGCTGAGCGCAGAGTCCCTCCTGAGACACAGGGGTGGGGGTCCAGGAGACACCACAGGCCTGTCCCCTCCACTGCCCGTGTGGCCTCAGGCTGGCTCTATGGCGAGAGACTCCGGGACGGCGAGACCGGCTGGTTCCCCGAGGAATTTGCCCACAGAATCACCAGCCGCGTGGCCGTGGAGAGCAACGTGCGTCGGATGGAGCGGCTACGGGTGGAGACGGATGTATAGCCGGCCAGGCCGGGCCCCCTGAGGGCCTGTCAGGCGTGCAGCGTCTGCCCCGGCCGTCGGCCAGCTGGGTCTGGCTCCCGGGGGCATGAGGGGATCCCAGGGCCCTCCCACAGCTGTGCCCGACTCTCGATGCCTCGCACAAGGGCCCTCGGGGGAGCAGGGGCTGCCCCAGGCCTTCCAAGCTCCTGTCCTCCTGGCCAGTGGCACCATGGTGGCCGGATGGGGACACAGGGCAGGGCCCTCTCCTCCCCGAGCGGGGCAAACAGGGCCTCGGGGGGCTTAGGCCTGCCCATCACCCCATTCTGGACTGAAGGTGGCCCCAGGCAGAGCCACCATTAAAGCATTTCTGCAGACCACATGTGTCATGTCCATCGCGTGTTGAGCCGCAGTGCAAGCCTTGGCCTCACATGTCACGGCAGTGTCCAAGAGGCCGTGGGCCAGGCTGCCCCTGACGCCGTGCGGTCTCCCTGCGCCAGCCCTGGCCCTTGCCACTGTCCTAGTTGTGGATGAGCAGGAAGCTCTCCCTGGGGTCGGCCTTGCAGGGGTGGGGGCCACAGAGACCTCTGCTTGACCTGTGGCCGCACACCCTCCTTCCTGCCGGGGCACCTGGCTCCCTCCCCCGCAGGCCAAGTGGTGCTGTGTCCGCCTGCGTGCCCCCACTGGGAATCTTGAGCACAGCTCCCTGACTGCACTAACCACGCAGCTTCAGGACCGTCGCCCATGTCTCCCACGAGCATCTGCCTGCGTGGCCTCGTCATGGCTAATGTCCCGTGGGTACATCTCCCACGAGTGTCTGCCCGTGGCTTGGTACATCTCCCACACGCGGCTGCCTGTGGCTTGGTCCGTGGCTAGCATCCCGTGGGTACATCTCCCACACACAGCTGTCCGCATGGCCTCGTCCACGGCTGATGTTCTGTGGGTGTGTCTCCCACGAGTGTCTGTCCATGTGGCCTCGTCCACGGCTGATGTTCTATGGGTGTGTCTCCCACGAGTGTCTATCCACGTGGCCTCGTCCACGCTGATGTTCTGTGGGTGTGTCTCCCATGAGTGTCTGTCCACGTGGCCTCGTCCACGCTGATGTTCTGTGGGTGTGTCTCCCATGAGTGTCTGTCCACGTGGCCTCGTCCACAGCTAATGTTCCGTGGGTGTGGCTGCCCAAGTGGCCTCGTCCATGGCTGATGTTCTGTGGGTGCATTTCCCACACGCAGCTGTCTGCATGGTCTTGTCCACGGCTGATGTTCTGTGGGTACCTCTCCCACACGTGGCTGCCCACGTGGCCTCGTCCACGGCTGATGTTCCGTGGGTACGTCTGGTTCCCCCTGCAGATCACCATGGCAGCCTCAGCCTTGGGCTGCCTACCTACCTCCATTCTCACCTTCCCCCCCTCCGGTCTTCCAGAAGGTTCAGTGCATGTCTTGCCATGACATCCCTATGGCCAACGGACACAGTCTGTGTCTGTCCCCACACAGGACAAGTGTCCACGGCCCCCGGCCACGCCTACGCAGACTGCCTTGAACTCCGCACAGAACAGACTCCACTGCCCTCCCGCTGTTGAGGTTCCAGGGGCTAGCCCTGAAGGCCCCTTTAAGCAGCATAACCTGAGGACGCCCCAAGTTGACACACGTGGCACCCCATTCCAGGGAAGCAGCTCTGGGCCTCCCGGGTCCAGAGAAGCCCAGCCCCCCGCCAGGCCGGTACAAAGCAGCACACACTGGCTCTGAAAGACACTGTTCCTTTAATTTGCTGGGGCCATTACAGCCCCTGAGCCCGCCCTGCCAGCCCCTAAGCCAGCCCTGCCAGCCCAAGCCCAGGCCTCCTGGGAAAGGGCAGGGGGCGTGGGGGCAGGGGGCAGGGGGTATGTGCAGCTGCCCATAAGTGAATGTGGCCAGACTGCATACACGGGTCACGCAGCCGTGCAGGGCTTAGCACCATTAGAACCTGCTGGGACGGAGCCTCGGCCCCTCCCAGGGCTGCAGCTTTGCACCGGCCAAGACAGGTGCATAAAGGCCCCGCCCACTCGCTGGGCTCAGGCCGGGCCCCTCAGGGCCACACGAGGGGCTGCGCAGCGACTGTCCAGTCCTCCCACGGCCCTCCAGGGAGAGCAGCCAGGCCAGTGCCCCTAAGGCTGCAGCGTTTAGCCGCGGTGTAGGGTGGTCTCTGTCAGTGCTCTGGGGTCCCGCTGCTGGGCCGGGGCACGTGTCTGCTGTTGACCACCGGTGTGAGCGCTGAGGAGGGAGAGGAGGTACGGTCACTCCCGGAGCAGGGAGCTCTCCCCAGCCGTCAGCTCCCCTCTCCCTCTGGGCCCAGAGACGCCAGCGTCCTCCAGGCTTTGCCACAATGCCAAGCTCCTGGCAAGCCCGGGAGACACCTCCTACACTCCTCACCTGGGCCTGGGCTAAGGACCGGCTCTTGGGGCCCACCTGAAGGACGGGCCCATGCCCCGCCCATAAGCAGGCAAGGCGACCAGGACAGTAAAGCTTGCAGGCACCCAGCAGGCCAGGCGCATCCTCTCTGTCCATCTCCCATGCACCCCTCCAAAGCCCCCAGGGTAGATGGGGAAGGGGCTTCTTCCAAGGTCAAGTCCATCGCGGGATCCAGTGGAGCCCTGGACCTCTGGACAGCTGAATGCCAAGGCCTGGGCGCAGTACCAAGCAGAGCCACTAGGTGCTGCTGTGGACAGTGTGACCACTCAAGCTCCTTCCTGCCTGCAGGGCTCTGGCCAAGCTGGCCTGGGAGCCCAGCAGCGTGCGCCTGCACACACACCCAGCCAGCATTCCAGCTCCCACACCGACGGTCCACAGTCCCTGGCTAGCCCCGCCGGCCTCGGAGCCCAGCAGCGTGCGCCTGCACACGCACCCAGCCAGCATTCCAGCTCCCACACCGACGGTCCACAGTCCCTGGCCGGCCCCGCCCACGACAGAGCCCTGGGGCTGGCTCCTTGCTTCCCGCCCGCCCGCCCGCCTGCCCGCACGTCCTGCCTTGCACAGGCCTGCCTCCAAAGAAAGCCTTCCCCACCCGTGCAGCAGGCATGCCCAGAGGTCACCCAGGGGACAGCAGCTGGGCCTGAGCTGGCGGGGGCACACGGGTGCACACAGGGCAGGCTGGGCAGCCCCTGTTAACACTGGCTGCTACAGCTCACAGCCCAGCCCCGCCCCCTGCCTCAGGCTCACCCCTCACCCATCGCCAGGCATGTGGGCCCTGTGGGTCCCCAGCCACAGATGGGTCTGGGGCCACAGTGAGCCCTCCCCCCTCCCCCTCGAGCCTGACTCACCTTCCCGGCACTTGGGGCCCACATGGCCGTCCTCACAGTGGCAGCGCCCACTGACCGGGTCACACTCAGCCCCGGCCCTGCAGTCACAGCGCAGGGCACAGCCGGGCCCGAAGTGGCCATCTCCACAGCCTGCATGGGTGGAGGGGAGAGGAGAAAGGCCTGAGGCCCACCCCACCTGCACCAGGCCCCGCCCCGGCTACACCAGGCCCCGCCCCGGCTACACCAGGCCCCGCCCCACCTGCACCAGGCCCCGCCCAGGCTACACCAGCCCTGGACCTAGACCAGTAAGTGAGCTCCAGGCTGCTCCTCCGGGGCAGGGCAGGGGTGCCCCAGGATACCTACCTGCAGTTAGCGGACACCTCATTCCCTGACCTGGGCCTCTGCCCTGCGTCCCCACCCAATCCCTGGACCCCACGGGCAGCTGCAGGGAAGTGCCTGGCCTTGACCGCTGGGGTTGGGACTGTGCCCAGCAGCCCAGGTGCCCACAGGCAGGCAGCCACTCGCATTCCCAACCCCCATCCTGGGCTGCACCCACTCACCTCGATCACAGGTGGCTCCAGTGCGCCCCGGTGGACAGAGGCAGAGGCCAGTCATAGGGTGGCAGGGGGCCCCAGAACAGTTGCACCGCTGGCTGCAGCCGTCGCCGAAGGAGCCTGGCTCGCACCCTGTGGGCGGGTCAGCGGGCTCAGCATCCCCCTTGCCCTCCTGGAGCAGACTGGACAGAGCAGGGTGGGGTGGCCACGGCACTCACCCTCCTCACAGAGGGGGCCCCGGGAGCCGGCAGGGCACAGGCACCGGCCACTGACGGGGTCACAGGTGGCTCCGTGCTGACACTCGCAGCCCCCCTGGCAGCCAGCTCCGTGGAAGCCTGGGGGGCAGGCTGAGGGAGGATCCGGTCAGTGACAGGAAGCTCCCACGAGAAGGCCCTCCCTTGGGCTTCCAGCCCCTTCCTCGCACGCGCCCAGGACTCACTGTGCTCGCAGGCCTGGCCGTAGAAGCCGGGGCCACAGCGGCAAGTGCCCGTGGTGGGGTCACAGGTGCCATTGTTCTGGCAGGTGCACTCCAGGCGGCAGGCAGCCCCGTAGCGCCCAGGGGGACAGGCTGGGCGGAGGAGGGCAACAGGACGGTCCCTGGGGCCCTGCTTGGCCCAGGAGCCCAGCATGCTGCCCGACCCAGCACCCCACCCCCAGTTCCCTGGCACAGCACAGCTGTCCCTACTCACACAGCTCACAGTGTGGCCCCGTCCACCCCAGACCACAGGAACAGCTGCCATTGACGGGGTGGCACAGGCCCCCGTGCCTGCAGACACACTGTTGCTCACAGCCCATGCCGAACCGGTGCTGGGGGCAGCCTGGGGGGCAGGGCCAGGGCTGCTGGAGGTTCTGCAGATGACGCTCCCTGCTGCCCACCCCGCACAGAGCCACACGGCCCCCCAGCATCTGCTGCCTGTGTGGTGTGACCTGCTCCCCAGGGCCGTGGGCAGGTATCGGCACAGGCTGCCTGGGACTGGTGGTGCGTCCTATAGGACCCCGGGGAGCTCGGCTTGCGGGCGAAGGGCTGGGGATCGGGCCGGGAGGCCAGCCGCACCTCGTGGACAGGGCACGGGATGTGCCCACCACCCCCACCAGGACTCACGAAGTGATGCAGGTGAGCCCTGGTGAGCCGGGCCCGTTGCACACTCACCATGCTCACAGTGGATGCCGACCCGGCCCGGAGGGCAGACGCAGGAGCCAGCCACTGGGTCGCAGGTCGCACCCGGCCCGCACTGGCACACGTGGGTGCAGTTGGGTCCAAAGTGGCCCTGTGGACAGGCTGCAGGGGCACAGGCCGCGGGTGAGGGTGGCCCCAGCCACACGTCATTCTGCACCGTCTGCTGGCTCTGCCTGCAGCCCAGCCCGAGGAAAATGTCTCGTGTCCACTGTGACCATCCGGCTGGGCTAGGCTGGGCACCCCTCATGGGGCAGGGGTCAGAGCTGGTCGGCAGGGACATCGTGGTCCCACAGGGAGGATTTGGGGAGCTGGGGAGGCGGGCTGTCTCAGTCTGCCTGGCCCCAGGGGTGGCTGGAGGTGGAGATGAAAGAGAGGCCCCATGCCCCCACCCCCACCAGCCACTCACAGAGGCTGCAGTCGGCCCCCAGGGTCCCGGGGGGGCAGTGGCAGGTCCCTGTGGCTGCGTCGCAGGGTGCCCCGTGAAGACACCTACAGAGCTGCTGGCAGCCTGGCCCATAGTGTCCAGGTGGGCATCCTGCAGAGACAGGGCCTGCTGCCAGGGCTGCCGACCGCCCCCCAAACAGCCCACATACAACACGGCCCCTCCGCCCCAGCCCTCCCAGGCAGCAGCAGCCCCTCAGGGAGGCTGTGCGGGACCCTCCTTCACCCCCAGGGCTGTGGTAGCTGGCAGGGCAGGTGCAAGCCCTTGTGGCCGGGTGGCACGCCTGCCCCTCGCTGGGACACCTGCACGTGTGTCCGTAGCCCTCCCTGAAAGTGCCAGGCCTGCAGGCTACGAGAGGCAGGTGGGGTCCGTGCAGGGGCAGACCCACCAGGGGGTGGCCTCCCCGCCAACGCCCCCATCGGGGCAGGGTTCTGCGGTAAGCCTACCCTGCTTGCAGCCAGGCCTGGTGACGCCAGGCGGACAGTGACACTCCCCGGTGACATGGTGGCAGGTAGTGTCCGGTGGGCAGCGGCAGCTCTGGGCACACGCCTCTCCGAACCGGCCTCTCGGGCAGGCTGCAGGAAGGACCCGGGCTGGCGTGGGCAGCACGTGGACAACCCCGCCCCCGCCTGACCACCAGGCCAGGTCTGCGTCACTGTCCTCATACGGTGGGCCCCACCATCCTAGGGGGCAAAGGCCGGCGCCTGTGACGCAGTGGCAGTGCTCCCAGCAGGCAGCCCCAAACATGCCCGCAGCACAGGCAGGTGCGGGGAGCTGTCTCATGGCCTCTGGATCCCACAGAGAAAGCCCCTGGGCAGCTAGGCTGGGAGCGCAGGGAAAGGGGGGGCCCGCTGCTGGGTGGGTCCCAGGCTCCATAGGCTCCAACACAGCTGGTGCCTGCTGGGGGGACAGGGTCTTGTGGGCCCGGGGGTTCCATGTGTCCCAGGCTAGGCCAAGTCCCCAGCTGGCAAAGGCCTCAGAACGAAGGTCCTGTTGGAGCCATGAGACAGGAATGCCCCCCTCACCCCAACATCTTGTGCCCCTGCTCCTCACAGGGGCTGGCTAGAGCCCCACACACCCACTCCCTGGGCCCAGTGGAAGTCCCACCCATAAGGGACATGGGCCACTCAGTCTGTACCCTCCCACCCTCCCCCAGCTCCTCCCACCTCCATGAGCCTGGCCCTGGAGCTGGTCCTCAGCCTGCAGTGAGGCTCAGCGCCGTCACACCCTCTGCCGGCCCCAACTCATGGCTCTGACATTTGTCCCCGGTCCAGCCAGCTGGACACAGGCAGTGGCCCGTGAGCCGGTCACAGAGGCCCCCATTTAGGCAGGTGCAGCTGCGCCGGCAAGCGGCTCCAAACTGGCCCGGGAGGCATTCTGTAGGGCCGGGCTGGGGTGAGGGGTCAGGTCCCCCAGGACCCGGCGGCCCCTGCTTGCTGCACTAAGCCCTCCTCTTGCACTCCCAGGGACCAGGCTGGGATGCCGGGCCACTCACGCCACCTCCAGGACACTGTCTCGAGGCCTGGAACCTCCCTCACTCACCGCTCTCGCAGGCTGGGCCGGTCCAGCCCTCGGAGCACGTGCAGTGGCCTGAGGCAGGGTCGCAGCTGCCCCCGTGCTGGCAGAGGCAGGCGTGCGCGCACTTCTCTCCATACAGGCCAGCTGGACAGGCTGGGGTGGGAGGAGAGTGGAGCCACCTGAGGTGCAGCCAGCGGGGTCCACGGGCCAGCCCCACCCCCAAAGCTTTGACCACACAAGCTTTGGGGTCAGCCACCTTTTCTGGGACTCCCCGTGATGCAGCTTTGGGGTGTGTGCTAACAGGCTCTGTCGGGAGCCAAGTGCCACCAAGGGTCGCCCCGCCTCCCTGCCTTTCCAAGGAGAGCCGCCACACCCCACGTAGGATCCAGCAAGCACCTTCCCTGACTGCCAGATGGGGCTTACCCTGCTGGCAGGTGGGCCCCATCCAGCCGGGGGCACAGCGGCACCGCCCGTGCACGGGGTCACAGGAGGCCCCGTTGAAGCAGGCACAGGTCTGGGTGCAGTTGTGGCCGAAGGTGAGGGCTGGGCAGGCTGTAGGTGAGATGGTGGCCAGGAGCCTGGGATGACGCTCCCAGAGCAGGCTGCAGCTGGCCAGCCAGCTCAGCTCCCACTCGGGTTCCCGCCTCAGTGGAACGGCCCTGAACAGGGACGCTGGCTGCCTGCACCCTCCCAGGCACCCAAGGCCGGGCAGGGGGACCCCACACACCCTGGGTGCAGCGGGGGCCCCGGTGGCCGGCCGGGCAGATGCAAGAGCCGTTCACAGGGTCACAGGCAGCTCCAGCGCTGCAGTTGCAAGGGCTGTGGCAGTCAAGTCCGAAGAAGCCAGGCGGACAGGCTGTGAGACAGAGGTGGTGAGGGGGCAGGGGTGGTCCCAGGGCGAAGAAGCCCCCCGGCCCCGGGCCCAGCTGTCAGCCTACTCACCACGCTCGCAGAAGCTCCCCCTCCAGCCAGGCTGGCAGGTGCAGGCCCCGCTGACATGGTCACAGGCTGCCCCATGCTGACACTGGCACCGCTGCCCACAGCCGGGCCCAAAGGAACCCTCGGGACACCCTAAGTCACAGCACATGGCCTGGCCCATCAGCGGGGGCCTGGGGCCCGCCACACTCTGCCCCTGCCCCCACAGTCATGGGCAGCAGCCAGGGGCCAGGACTGAAGGTTGGGACCTGGCTCTCCCAGCAGCTCTCCCTGCCGTCCAGCCCCCTGGGAGGGTTCCAGCAAGGGCCCTCCTCTGCTTCCCCAGGACTAACCCACTCGGCCAAGGGCCCTCAGTTCGAAACTGCCACCTCCCTTCCCCCGACAGGTGCCAAGGGTGTCCTGAGACAGGCCACGCCCCCTTGCACGTGGCTACTCCACGTGAGTTGGACGTCTGAAAAGGTGGGCAGGAAGGCGGGGCCCTGGCCCAGGCTGTAGGGCAGCGGGCCAAGCTCATGCTGGGTGGGAAGGCAGAGCGCCAGGGTGAAGCAGTGTGCACACATGGGAACACCGAGGGCAGGCCCAAGACTCACGCTGCTCGCACCGTGGGCCCACGTAGCCAGCCTCACACAGGCACAGGCCGCTGAGCGCGTCGCAGCCCCCGTGGCCGGCACTGCAGTTGCACGGGAAGCTGCAGTCAGGTCCCCAGCGCCCCTCGGCACAGGCTGCAACAGAGCCAGGGCACGGCAGGTCAGGGCGCGGGCATCCCAGAACTGGCCCCAGGAGGCACGGACAAGGGCCCCACCTTGCTGGCAGTGGAGGCCGGTCCAGCCAGGAGCACAGCTGCAGCGTCCAGTGGTTGGGTGGCAATGCCCGTCGTTGGCACAGGAACACCTAGTCTGGCAGCCGGCCCCGAACCAGCCTGCGGGGCACACTGTGGCCGCAGAGAGAATGTGAGTGGGTGGAAGGGCTAGGGGCCAGGCAGGTCCTGGGGCCCAGGCCGGGTGGCACTCACCGTCTTGGCAGCGGCTGCCAACAAAGCCGGGACGGCACAGGCAGGCTCCAGTCTCGGGGTCACAGCTGCCACCATGCTCACAGGTCGGACAGATCTCCTGGCAGCCGAGTCCCCAGCGACCCTCGGGACAGTCTAATGACCCCACCCAGGGGGTCAGCCCACAGCTGCCCGCAGAGGGGCTGCCAGGATGGTCACAGCCCTAGACCCCCCGGGGAGGCGGAGGGATCGACTTCCCAGCCACAGGACAGGCATCCGGCCCCAGGCAGGACGGGGTGCCCACACAGGGATCAGGTGCTTGGGGGCCTGGCACCAACCACTAGAGGTCCTGGGTCAGCAGAGCTGGAGCAATAGCCCCCCAAAGCAGGGGTCCCCAGATACAGGCCTGGATGAGGGGGAGCAAGGCACCTGTCACTCACCCGCCCCACAGTCTTCTCCAGTCTTCCCTGCCACACACTGGCACTGCCCCGTGACCGGGTGGCACGGGGCCCCCACACAGGCACAGATGCCGGAGCAGTTCTGGCCAAAGGTTCCCGCAGGGCACTCTGTAGAGGGAGCAGGAACGGTTGGCTCCCCACGTGGGGTCGCCCAGTCTGGAGTCTCCTGCCCCCACTTCCTGAGGGCCCCAGCCACTGGACCAGCTCCACAGGGGCCACTGAGCACAAAGGGCTCTGGGTGGGTCAGGCAGGGCAGGCAGGGAGGGGGCCTCCAAGACCCCCAGGGACCGGCAGCCCCTCTGAGGGTCAGGTCATTCACGTGGGTGCCTGTCCAGCCCCTGCCCCTCCTCTGTGGCTCTGGAGGGCTGGAGTCCCCACGGCATCTCAGGGATACGCAACAAGAGCAGCAGCCTGCGGCTGGATGGCTGCTCCAGGGCCTGCCCCAGCTGCTCCTGGAAGCATGCCATACGGCACTGCCCTGTGGGTGGGGTGGCAGGGACACCCAGGGAAGGATGCCGTGGCCCCTGCACGGCCAAGTGGCACAGGTGCCCCCACAAACACCAGCCTGCAGCGTTTACATGAGAGGGTGCCTGCCACCAATCCCCAGGGCCTCCAGCTCAGCCTGTGCCCCCAGGTAGGGCCCTGGGTACACAGGCGAGTGGTGGATGGACTACCTCAAAGACACCCTCCTCTCTGTGACAGAACTACCTGGTGGGTGAGGGGCATGGGCCTCTGGTGGCTGGAGCTGACGGCTCCCATAACCCAGACCACAGGGATGCTGGGGGCCAGCCCTCACCTTGGGTACAGTCCACCCCCTGGTAGCCAGCGGGGCACTGCGTCCGGCACGCGCCGCTTACGGGGTCACAGGCCACACCGGGTAGGCAGGCGCACGTGTGCTGACAGCCTGGCCCGTAGGAACCTGGTGCACACTCTGCAGGTGGAGAGGGCTGGCTGGGTGGGTGCCCTCCCCTGGCCCTCCCCTGGCCCACCCCGGCCCTCCCCAGCCCCGGTCCTCCCCCGGCCCTCCTCCCTCCGCTCACCTGCCTGGCACTGCGCTCACTTGCCTGGCACTGTGCTCACCTGCCTGGCACTGCGCTCACCTGCCTGGCACTGTGCTCCCTGGTAGCCAGCCTTGCAGGTACAGCTGCCGTCCCTGCGGTCGCACGACCTTGTGTGGCGCTGATCACACTGGCATTCCTCAGAGCAGCCGGGCCCGAAGGCCCAGGGTGGGCAGGCTGCAGCACAGAGCCATGAGGGGTGCCAGCCTGCTGGCAGTGCCCACCCCTGCATGTTCTGGGCTTCACAGCCCTCCTCCCCAGTGCCCTCTAGGCAGCTCCGGGCCTGTTGCTTCCCAGCCAACAAAACCCTAGCAAGGAGTAACCACAGGAGCCCGAACCCCTGGAGGGCTCCCCATCCCTGGAGGGCTCCCCTACCCCTGGAGGGCTCCCCATCCCTGGAGGGCTCCCCTACCCCTGGAGGGCTCCCCAACCCTGGAGGGCTCCCTGACCCCTGGAGGGCTCTCCTTCCCTGGAGGGCTCCCCAACCCTGGAGGGCTCCCCATGCCTGGAGGGCTCCCCGACCCCTGGAGGGCTCCCCAGCGCCAGGCTGGGAGGAACTGGGAGGGGCTGGGAGCTGGGGAGGGCAGGGATACAGCTTAGCCGGAGCCTGCAACCCAGGCTGACTCCAGCCCGGGCCCTATGCCCTGGCATGGTGGGAGGTGGGGATGCCACAGGGATGGCGGCACTAACCGAGGTGGCAGAAGCGGCCGTAGAGCCCCGGGTCACAGAAACAGGCCCCGTAGAGGCGGTGGCACCGGCCCCGGTTGGCACAGTGGCATTTCTTGTGGCAGTGCTTGCCATAGAAACCCTTGGGGCAACCTGGGGGCGGGGAGCCTGTGAGCATGGGTGGGGGGCAGCTGGCCCTCCTTCACAAAGTCCCCACCAAGAAGATGCCTAGGGCAGGGGGTGGGGGCACAACCAGGGCCCAGTAGGAGCTGGGAACAACCCTGGAACAGGTGCTGGGATGGCAGCCCCCGCCTCAGAGGCCCCCCACACAGGGGCTCCCAGCCTTCCTGGCCCACGCAGGGGCTGTTGTCAGTGGAACGGTCCTCAGGACCTGGAGACTAGACGGCCCTGATCCACCCGTGGGGTCCGAGGCCAGTGGCAACTGAGCTAGGGCTGGGGCAGCTGGAGGAGAGGACAGCGACAAGCAGGCGGGCATGAGGAGTCCCAAGGAAGCCCGCCCGGCACTGCGTGCCCAGCCCCACACAGCTCTGCCCGAGCGTGGTCCCGGATGCGGTGCTTGCTTCTTCCCCAGGGGCCCACTGCCAACACAGCCCCACCACCCACTCTGGGTGGTCGCTGGGAAGATGTGAAACAGTGAGAGGCCGCGCCTGGCTCTCCTGCCAGGTCTCACTCCCCGTGGGCACAGCAGGGGAGGGGTGAGGAGGGTCTGAGCACAGCTCGCCACTGCTTTCCCTTCTCCCGCAGGAGCAAAGGCCCGGGATGCACGCACCGTCCTCACAGTGGAGCCCGCTGACCCCCGGGGGGCAGCGGCAGGTCCCCGTCATGGGGTCGCAGCTCCCGCCGTTCTGACAGCTGCAGGAGGAGCTGCAGTTCTTCCCAAACATGCCCGGAGGACAAGCTGCAGGGTGGACAGCACCCAGGTCAGCCAGCAGGACACAGCGCCCCACCCGCGGGAGGCAGTGCTGGGGTCCCCCGGCAGCATGGCAGGAGCCCGCCCCCCAGCTCCCCCCGCCACCCCATCAGAATCCCCCTGTGGACAAACGCCTGGGCCCACGGGGGCCTCACTCTCATTGCAGAGGAGCCCGGTCCAGCCCTCGGGGCAGTCGCAGCCACCCAGACCCGGCAGACAGGCGCCTCCGTTGTGGCAGTCCTCACAGGTCAAGCTGCAGTCGGGGCCGAAGGAGTCGCCCAGGCAGACTGGGGGGCAAACGGCAGAGGGGGCTCAGTGGGCGGGTGCACCGTGCTCCGGCGCCCCTCGGCCAGCCCAGAGACCACTCACTGAACCTCTCGGTGAGGCTGTGCTCGCCCCGCAGCTCGGCGGCCTCCTCCCCTTCCTCGGTCCCGGCGTAGTCGTCCTGGAGCAACTTCAGGAACTCATCCGCCAGCCCGGCCACATGGGGCAGGGGCCGCACCAGGGGCAGCTGGCCATCCAGGTCCACCGTGGCCTCCTCCAGGGCTGCCAAGGAGCACAGGGGCCCCAAGCCAGTCACCCCCTCTGTGCCAGGCAGCAGGGCCTGGCAACACCCCCACTGCATACCCCAATCTCCAAGCCTGGGCACCCCACACTCAGGCCAGAGAAGGCTCCTGCCCTGGGCCTACCCATGGCACGCCACCCCACCTCTGGGACTCCCCACTTAGGATATGGTCCTGCCTTGCTCCCCGCCCTGACACTGTCCACACCATGCGGAGCCCCACGGCAGTTGGCAGGACTTTGGAGGTCGGCATGTCCAGAGGCAAGGGGAGAGGGCACCCGGGCAGCAGGGGCTGCCACGTGCAGAGGCAAGGGGCGCTGGGGCAGAGCCCGAGGAGCTAGGGGCAGTGTAGTGGGAGTGAGGAAGTGTGTGTGTGAGCTCACGGGTGCAGCCCCTGCGATCCTCATCCAGCAGGAAGCCAGCCTCACAGGAACACTGGAAAGAGCCGGCCAGGTTGGCACAGCGCTGCTCGCAGCCGCCTCGGCCGGAGGCGCACTCGTCCACATCTGTAGGGAAAGCCGGGTCTGGGGGATGGAGCCTGGGGTCTGGGGGCTGGGGCTGGAGCTTGGGGGCTGGGGGCTGGAGCCTGGGGGCTGGGGGCTGGAGCCTGGGGTCGGGGGCTGGAGCCTGGGGTCTGGGGGCTGGAGCCTGGGGTCTGGGGTCGGGGGCTGGAGCCTAGGGGCTGGAGTCGGGGACTGGAGCCTGGGGTCGGGGGCTGGAGCCTGGGGGCTAGGGTCGGGGGGCTGGAGCCTGGGGTCTGGGGGCTGGAGCCTGGGGTTGGGGCTGGAGCCTAGGGTCTTGGGACTGGAGCCTGGGGTCTGGGGGCTGGAGAATGGGGTCTGGGGGCTGGAGCCTGGGGTCAGGGGGCTGGAGCCTGGGGGCTGAAGCCTGGGGTCTGGGGTCTAGAGCCTGGGGTCTGGGGTCTAGAGCCTGGGGTCGGGGGCTGGGGTCTGGGGTCTGGAGCCTGGGGGCTGGAGTCTAGAGCCTGGGGTCTGGGGTCTAGAGCCTGGGGTCGGGGGGCTGGAGCCTGGGGTCGGGGTCTGGGGTCGGGGGCTAGAGCCTGGGGTCTGGGGGCTGGAGCCTAGGGTCTCGGGGCTGGAGCCTGGGTCTGGGGCTGGAGCCTGGGGTCTGGGGGCTGGAGCCTGGGGTCTGGGGGCTGGAGCCTGGGGTCTGGGGGCTGGAGCCTGGGGTCTGGGGGCTGGAGCCTGGGGTCGGGGGCTGGAGCCTGGGGTCGGGGGCTGGAGCCTGGGGGCTAGGGTCGGGGGGCTGGAGCCTGGGGTCTGGGGGCTGGAGCCTGGGGTCGGGGGGCTGGAGCCTGGGGGCTGAAGCCTGGGGTCTGGGGTCTAGAGCCTGGGGTCTGGGGTCTAGAGCCTGGGGTCGGGGGGCTGGAGCCTGGGGTCGGGGTCTGGGGTCGGGGGCTAGAGCCTGGGGTTGGGGCTGGAGCCTAGGGTCTCGGGGCTGGAGCCTAGGGTCTCGGGGCTGGAGCCTGGGGTCTGGGGGCTGGAGAATGGGGTCTGGGGGCTGGAGCCTGGGGGCTGAAGCCTGGGGTCTGGGGTCTAGGGTCTAGAGCCTGGGGTCTGGGGGCTAGAGCCTGGGGTCGGGGGCTGGGGTCTGGGGTCTGGAGCCTGGGGGCTGGAGCCTGGGGTCTGGGGGCTGGAGCCTGGGGTTGGGGGGCTGGAGCCTGGGGTCGGGGGCTGGGGTCTGGGGTCGGGGGCTGTGCCCCACCCACCCCAGGGGCAACAAGGAGCAGCACTCCTCCCCAGCTCCCTCCTGTTGCCAGGGCCTCTCTGCCCATTCTCCCGTCCCCAGTGTCAGCACAGCAATGGAAGCCAGGCTGGAAGGAGCCGGGCAGGAGCGGCCCTCCCGGGAGGGAGTGGGCTGCTCCATAGGCACACAGGGGCCCAGAGGTGAGCTAGGGGCAGGCTGACCCCATGCCCGCTGCAGATGGGCCAGCCCAGTGCTGGCTCCTGCCTTGGCTGGCCCTGCTCGGCTGGCCCCGGCTGCCCGTCAACCAGGCGTGCTCACCCTCGCAGCTGCAGCCATCGGCGCCCAGCCCGTAGCCAGCGTAGCAGCCACACTCATACCCGCCGGGGCTGTTGGTGCACACCTGCTGGCAGCACGGAGAGGTGGCACAGTCGTCGATGTCTGCGGGCACACAGCAGGTGCCACTGGCACTCAGGCCCTCCCCAGGCCCACACCTCCCAGACTCACATCTACGACACATACAGCCACAAACAAGCCCAGACACACTCACACCTGCACCAGACCCAGGCCGGCAGTCACACACACTCGCAGCCCATTTCCCAGGCCCTGGTCCTACAGACAACAGGACAGCTGCAGGCCACCGAGCCTGCTATAGACAAGACCCAACCCTTGGCTGGGTCAGACCAGGTCTGCCCGGGCCTCGAGTCTCCCCATGAAGGACCCTGCAAGGCCAGGGAGCCGACGGGGCTGAGGGGCATGGGTGGGTGGGCACCTGTGGGCTGATGCCTGCCCGAGGGCCTTCTGGGTCCTGCCCTGCCCTGGGCTCCAGGCCATGCTGGCACCACATGGCCAGGACCAGAGACAGGGGCTTCCTGGTGGGGGGACAGCCGGGCTCTCTCACCGACACAGGTCTTGTGGTCCTCGTCCAGTTCATAGCCCTGGGGACAGGTGCACAGCGGCCCCGCACTGCTGTGGCTGCAGCCATGGGAGCAGCCGCCATTGTCAGTCTCACAGCTGTTCACAATCTCCATCTCAATCCCTGGGCAGAGACCAAGGGCGCCTGGGGAGGGCCCGTATGCCTGCCCTGCCCGCCTGCCCTCATGCCCACCCTGCCCTCATGCCCACCCTGCCCGCCTGCCCACCCTGCCTGCCTGCCCTCATGCCCACCTGCCCCCCTGCCCACCCTGCCCGCCCTGCCCGCCTGCCCTCATGCCCACCTGCCCGCCTGCCCTCATGCCCACCCTGCTCACCTGCCCTCATGCCCACCTGCCCGCCTGCCCTCATGCCCACCCTGCCCACCTGCCCACATGCCTGCCCTGCCCACCTGCCCACATGCCTGCCCTGCCCGCCTGCCCTCATGCCCACCTGCCCACCTGCCCTCATGCCCACCTGCCCGCCTGCCTTCATACCCACCCTGCCCTGCCCGCCTGCCCACCCTGCCCGCCTGCCCTCATGCCCACCTGCCCGCCCTGCCCGCCTGCCCACCTGCCCTCATGCCCACCCTGCCCACATGCCTGCCCTGCCCGCCTGCCCTCATGCCCACCCTGCCCACCTGCCCATCCTGCCCTCATGCCCACCCTGCCCACCAGCCCGCATGCCCGCCCTGCCCGCCTGCCTGGAGGGGAAGCTCCGCCCCGTGGCCAGGGACCGCCCGTGGGAGCCCAGAGAGCGTGTTGCTGCCCACTCACGGTAGCACTGCCGGCCATCGGCCCCCAGCTCGTAGCCTGCATGGCACACACACTGGAAGGACCCTGGGGTGTTGAGGCAGCCGTGGGCACACTGGACCACCCGCGAGGCACACTCATCCACATCTGGAAGACAAAGACGAAGGGCAAGGATGGGCAGCCACTCAGCCTGCCCTGCCACCGGCCACTCAGCCTGCCCCACCACCACCAGCCACTCAGCCTGCCCCACTGCCACCACTCAACCTGCCCCGCCGCCACCAGCCACTCAGCCTGCCCTGCCACCACTCAGCCTGCCCCACTGCCATCGGCCACTCAGCCTGTCCCACCACCACCAGCCACTCAGCCTGTCCTGCCACCACTCAGCCTGCCCCACTGCCACCGGCCACGACCCTACACTGGTGCCATGCTCGCCTCCAACACGGGCAGCGACTTCCTGGTGTCAATCAAAATGAGGACTCGCAGCCCCTCCTGCCCCACCTGGCAGGTGCCCAGGAACAGGGCCATGGCCTGCTCCAGACCAAGGTCCCTGGGGCCACTGGCAGAGCTGGCTGTGGCTGCCTGTAGCTGGGAAGCCCTGGGGACCAGCAGGCAGTACAGCCCAGGAGGCAGCAAGTTCCAAATGGGGCGGCCACTGAGCCCTGAGCCCTCCTCCGGCACAGGCCTCTCGGGGTCTCAGCTCAGAGAGGTGGGGACACTCAAGAGGGCGGGTCCAGCTGCAACTCTCCTGGGGCCTTGAGGCAGGGCTGGGGAGGGGGTTGTCCCTACCTTCACAGGCCTTGTGGTCGGTGGCCAGCTGGTAGCCCGCGTGGCATTCACAGTGTGCAAGGCCCTGGAGCGCCCGGCACGTGTGCATGCAGCCGCCGTTTCTGACCGTGCACGGACTTCTCCCTGCAGCCAGAGGGGAGGGAGCCCTGAGGCACCTGCTGCGATGGGCCAAGGGCGCCCTCCAGATGCAGGAGGCAGCCCTGGACAGGCCTGCGGGCACGCGCCAGCCTCCCGGCCTCCCCCGCCTGGCACACTCACGGACACAGCGCCTCCCGTCTTCCTGCAGCTGGAACTCAGGCCAGCACTGGCAGCGGTGCCGTGTGGCCGTGAGCTGCACACACTGGTGCTGGCAGCCGCCATTGCCCAGGGCACAGGAGTTGAGGGCTGGGGACGTGGACAGGAGGACGGTCAGAGGGACGCTGGCCTGGCCGTGGGCCCTCAGCCAGCAGCTGTCCCCGCCCCAGGACCAGCATTGCTTCTATCAAGGTCGGGCAGGGAGTGGCAGGGGTGCCTGGGAAGCTAAGGCTGTGGGCCTGGAGCCTGGGGTCGAGGCTCTAAGCAGATCCTAGATGGGGCCGGGATGGGGCAGGCTCATGGGCCAGAATGCCATCAGCCCCAGGCACCAGCCAGCTGGGCCCATGCTTGGGGGTGACACTCACCACTCATGGCTGGTGGGCACTGCCAGGGGACTGGCACTTGGAGCTCAGGTTCTGGCAGCAGCCACCAGAGCACATGAGCTGTACAGCTGCCCAAGGCAGGCTTCCTCAAGGCAGCTGTGCCCAGCTCTGCCCTCCTGGGGAGTCTGGGGGCAAGCCAGCAGGGCACTGCAGCAGCGACATGCCATGTCAACGCTGGCCTGGCACAACCGAGGGGAGCCCATGGGCCTCTGAGGCCCTAGCCAGGCCAGGTGGCAGCCGACTTCACCCCACTCAGGCCATCCCTCCCTGCGGGGGCCGCTGGCAGCCTGCCCTGGCCCTGCATTCCTGGGGGCTCTGTTGATCTGTGGTCGCCACAGCCGACTCAGGACGCGTGCTGGGAGCCAGGAGCCTCTGGCAGCACCAGGCAGGTAGAATGCGGGGCTGTGGAGGCTGTGGGACTCCACATCGACTCCTCAGACAGGCAGGACTCCCAAAGTGTGCCAGCTGGCAGGGTGGAAGGCACCAGGGCGGGCTTGGGTTCTGCGCACTCTGCAAAGCCATCTGCTCTGGCCGCATAGCTGGGAAACTGCAGCCGTACCTAAACGGGCACCCCTGGAGCCAAGCCAGCATCAGTCACACGGCCCGAGGGTTTACGGAAAGCCTCCAACACCAGACTGACCGACTGACTAAGCTGCCCGGTCTGGGGTGCTCCATCACGGCAGCCCCAGCAGGCGGGGAACGCTGACCACCCAGGGTGACCCCCACAGCCCAGCTCTGGGGCGCTCCAGGGCACAGGCAGCTGCAACTCTACCTCCTGCCAGCAGAGGGCACCGATGCAGCTGGGGGCGCCCCTGTGGGAGGCATCCAGGGAATGGGGGCGCCCCCAGGCCAACAGGAAACGTGTCCTACAGGCTCTGCCAGTGCCAGCTCGCTCTGCTCTGTGCTAGGCTTGAGCCAAGGCCAACCCAGGGCTACGTGGCAGGTGCCACAGGTTAGGCGGTCAAAGGTAGCCTGGCCAGCGGGTCCAGGCCCACCAGCCCAAGTCCCACAGGTGCCATGGGAGTGGTAAGGCCAGTCCACGGGGGGGCAGAGGGCAACTCCCTCGTAACAGCTATCCACTCCACACACAGCACGGGCCACCTTCTCACCCTTGCCTCCAAGGCTCACCCCGGCCAGGCACCTGCCCAGCTTTCTGTCCTATTCTTGCCCGGAGCCCAGGGCCTGTCCCTCGTCCCAGCCCCTACAGGTCAGGCTGTGGCCGCTGCCACGTCCCCTTGCATCCGGGCACTCCTACTCCACCTGGGCCTGCACATCTGCGTCCTAGAAACCCAAGGTGGGCTGGTGGGGCAGCAAGACCTCACGTCGGCCCCCTGGAAGCCCCTGGAGGCCAGCCTGGAAGCCAGACCCCTGGCTGCATCTGCCTGCAGCCTGTTTCAGATTTCACAGGGTGGAAAACATTGTCAGGGTAGTCCCAGCAGTTCTGTGGATGGGCTGGGCGGGCAGCCGGCTGGCTGCTGCCGCCTCTGGATTTGGCCCATGCCCCAGCACACTGCCAGCAGCTGTCTCCAGGGCAGGCAGTTCCCCAGGGAGCTGAGTGGGCAGCAGGAGAGCCAGGCAGTCCCTTGCCAGAGCTGGGCTGGGACAGGCCTCCTCCAGCCCCACACAGTGGAGCCCAGTGGACACTGGGGGCCAGCAGAGCCCCCTCTTCTGTCCTGTATGCATCTACACCATATGGTAGGCCCAGGATCTCATAGGGAGGCGGTGGGGGGCCCCTCCGCGGGCTAAGCCCGTGACACTCAGGCCAGGGTGCAGGTCAGATGGGCCAACCTCCAGGACCCCCAGCCCCTGTGCAGCGGGCTCACACACCTTGTGGCCTCGAAAGTGGAGACTCCCTCAGCGAGGGCCTGTAGGCAGCTCCCGCGTGGGGTCTGCAGCTGTGCTCTGCGGTGTGTCATGGAAAGGGGAGAGACTCCAGAACCCTGGGCCAAGTGCAGCCCTGGCCAGACCTCACCTTCCATGGCCGGTGCAGGCACCGTGAGTGAGGGGCTGCGATCTGCCATGGGCTGCCCACCTCCCTCCCAAGTCTCCCCCTCAGCCCCAGTCTGGGGACACTCCCAGGAAGGCACCCCAGGCCACGGAGCACCCCAGGATGTCTAGGGGTATGGGGAGGCCCAAAGACAGGGATGCTCAGAGCCTGGGCGTGTCCCACCCCCACCCCAGCTCCTGAGCGGGCACTGCCAGGACCACCACCCCCAATGCCCTGGGTCCTGGGCGTGTCCCAGCCCCACCCAGCCTCCTGAGCAGGCACTGCCAGGACCACCACCCCCAATGCCCTGGGTCCTGGGCGTGTCCCAGCCCCACCCCAGCCTCCTGAGCGGGCACTGCCAGGACCACCACCCCCAATGCCCTGGGTCCTGGGCGTGTCCCAGCCCCACCCCAGCTCCTGAGCGGGCACTGCCAGGACCACCACCCCCAATGCCCTGGGTCCTGGGCGTATCTCAGCCCCACCCAGCCTCCTGAGCGGGCACTGCCAGGACCACCACCCCCAATGCCCTGGGTCCTGGGCATGTCCCGGCCCCACCCAGCCTCCTGAGTAGGCACTGCCAGGACCACCACCCCCAATGCCCTGGGTCCTGGGTGTGTCCCAGCCCCACCCAGCCTCCTGGGTAGGCACTGCCAGGACCACCCCCCAATGCCCTGGGTCCTGGGCGTGTCCCAACCCCACCCAGCCTCCTGAGCGGGCACTGCCAGTACCATCCCCCAATGCCCTGGGTCCTGGGCGTGTCCCAGCCTCACCCAGCCTCCTGAGCAGGTGCTGCCAGGACCATCCCCCAATGCCCTGGGTCCTGGGCGTGTCCCAGCCTCACCCAGCCTCCTGAGCAGGTGCTGCCAGGACCACCCCCCAATGCCCTGGGTCCTGGGCACCTTCCCCACCCAGTCTCTAGGGTCCTCATGTGGCTCAGGGCCCAGAAGAGCAGCGCGTGGTGCTCTTGGGCCTGCGGGTTCCCAGCAGCTGGGCATTACACAGGGCAGCAGCTGGGCATTGTTGCTCTAGCTGCCCACAGCTGTCCCTGGGGTGGGGCAGGGCAGGGGCATGGCTCCGACAGCACCTGCTAAGATGCACTGTGGTACCTGGCAGGAACAGGGGCTGCCCAGGGGCTGGCACCCAGGCCCACACCCTCAGAGTCTGGAATGGACCAGGCAGTTATATCTGGGGTCCCTGCTAATAAGCTAGGACCCCAGCACCAAGCACCACTTGCCCCAGGGAAGCCGGGAGACACCTCTTCCTGCCTCAGGCCCCTGGTCTCAAGTCCCCTGCAGCCCAGGGGCTGTCAGGCTGGACACAGAGGCGGGGGGCCACTCTGGAGCAAACACCTGACCTTCCTGGGGAGATCCCCCCCCAACAGGACACTGCTCAGGGTGCCCAGGGGCCAGGGACCCAGACCCACGAAGCAGTGCCCACGGCAGACCCTACGGCAGGCCAGATCCCAGCAGGAACAAAGCGCCCCGGTAGCACTGGAGTGGTGCCTCACAGCACGGAGACAGCCAATGACAGGCCCTGCCCTCCAGCCAGCACCGCCTGCTGAGACCCCCAGAGCACAGGGTGGCCGGGCAGCCCCTCCCGTCCGTACACCATCACGGGTCCACCCAGGGCAAGCCATGGGGTGAGGGAGGGCAACCAGGTTTCCATGGAGACTGGAAGCCCCTCGCAGGACATGGGGGAGCGCTGGCGGGAGGGGCAGGCCACAAGCTGCCTCTTCAGGGGGCTTGTGGTGAAGAGCCCCCCACCGGCTCGCAGGCGCCCCCTTCAGGCACAGGCTAGGCTGCGGCCCTGAGGACCATCGCCCGACCCAGTGGCATCTGGTCCTACTTAGGCCCCAGCCGGGAGTGAGCCGCCTGCCGGGACACGTGAGTGTGGGCTGGCCGACTGCCCGCCTCATGGCAGCGGGGACCAGGAGGGAGGCCGCTCGGAACTGGCCGAGTCTCCACGGTGGAAAGAAGGGTCGACCCACCCCCAGCCTCCCAGGGCACAGACCGACAGGCCTCCTGGGCCAGAAGCCAGGGCTCAGCCTGTCCCCAGGCACCCGTGTCCAGAGCCAGCCAGGGGCAGGGATGCTGCAAGTGGGACAGCCACTCCCCACCTCCACACGCGGGGGCTGCAGCCCCTGCCCCCAGCCTCGCTCCTGACCTTCCTGCCCAGAGGCCACCAGTGCCGGGCAGGCCACGGTCTGCGTCCCACGTCCCCCTGGCACAGACCTGCAGAGGTGGCACAGGGCTGAGGCTCCACCTCTCAGCTACCCCTCCCCCAGGCACCCAGCTCCTTGAGACCTGGGGTTAGCAGCAGCGGCAGGGCCCCTGCAGACTGACCCCTGCACGGAGCCCCAGCCCTCTGCTTGCCCAGACCTGCCCTCAGCTTCCTCAGGTGCAGGTGGTGCCATGCTGTCTCATGGGGACAGACGGGCCCCTCAGCCCCAGCTACAGGGACTGGGCTGGAGTGACCAGGGTCCAGGCGACTCACCCAGGCAGGTCCTGCCGTCGCTGTGGAGCCGGAAGCCGGGCTTGCACTCACAGAGGTAGGAACCAGGGGTGTTCACACACCTGTGCTGGCAGCCGCCATTGTGCGCTTGGCACTCATCCACATCTGAGCAGGGAGAGGGGAGGTTAGCTGCCGGCACCAGCAGGACCAGCCCCTCCCGTGGCTTCTCAACCACGCCGGCAGGTCCCTCTCCGGCAGAGCCACCCCCGGGCAGGGGCAAGGCAGGAGAACGGACGGCCTGGCTTCCTTGCGGGCTGACGGGCAGAGCCTCCACTCTCCACGGGAGACAAAGGAGATGCTGGCCGGAGCAGTGGACAGCATCCCGGGGCCACGGCCACACTGCCCTCATCACCCCCGTTCCTGAGTGAGGGAGACCATGCAGAGGGGACAGGAACCCAAGGCAGGGCCAGGACTCCGCTTGGGGGACGCTGGCCTCTGACCCCACGGCCACCTGCGTGGTCCGCTGCGTCCCTCTGCCCCAGCCACGGCTGACCAGGAGTGGACACAGCACAGCCCCCGGGAGATGCGGAATGTGAGGTGGGGGCCTGGAAGGGCTCCCAGGACCCCTGTCTGGGCCGCTTCTGCAGGAATCCAGCGGGCAGCTGGAGACCCCCACACGTGCAGCAGCCAGAGAAGAAGCACACAGAGGGATGAAGGGAGCTGTGTGACCCCGGGGACACCCACGGGGGGACTTCCAGGATAGCTCAGGCACTGAGATGCCAGCTGTGCCCGGGGCCCCTGAGGACCAGTCCTCTCCAAGCCAGGGAGGTCAGGGGTGACCCAACACCCAGCAGGCTGAGACGCTGGCAAGGCCGCCCCTTGGGCCACGTGAGAAGGGACTGCAGGACAGGCCAACCTCACTGCCAGAGCCCAAGGAAAGCAGCTGGGTCCTGGCCGCAGGGGCACAGAGCTCAGAGCTGCCACATAGCCGAGTGTCCGCCATGTGGGAAACCCGCTCAGCGTGGTGAGGCAGCCAGGACTATCCACCGAGCTGAAGCCCCTCTAATTCTACTAGGCAAGCCCACTCACCAGCCACCACAGCCACCAGGCCACCCCCAGGCCCACGCCCTTGCCATGGGCCTGGAGGACACCGATGGCTCCTGGGCAAAAGCTGCTCACGCCAGCCTGTCTGCTCCTTGAAGGGTGCCACCAACCAGGCTGCACAGCCCACAGCAGCCCACGCTCTCAGACAGGACACAGAATGAGCCCCAGTGGCAGGGCCTCGTTCCACGTGTGAGCCGGGTCCACGGCAGGGACAGCCCAGGGTCCCTCCTAACCCCCGAACTCAGCCAGGCCAGGGGCACCTCCACCTGTGCCAGGAAGCCACAGTATCACCATCACCAGGCTCAGCCAGGGACTGGGCTGACTGGCAGCAAGGGACGTGGTCAGCTCAACAGCCAGTGGGTCTAAGCCACCACCTACAGCGCTGGCATCCCTCATGGGCGCCAGCTCAGGCCCCGGCTGTTCCATCTCCCACCCGTGGGCGCCAGCTCAGGCCCCGGCTGTTCCATCTCCCACCCGTGGGCGCCAGCTCAGGCCTCGGCTGTTCCATCTCCCACCCGTGGGCGCCAGCTCAGGCCCCGGCTGTTCCACCTCCCACCCATGGGCGCCAGCTCAGGCCCCGGCTGCTCCATCTCCCACCCATGGGCGCCAGCTCAGGTCCCGGCTGCTCCATCTCCCACCCGTGGGCGCCAGCTCAGGCCCCGGCTGTTCCATCTCCCACCCGTGGGCGCCAGCTCAGGCCCCGGCTGCTCCACCTCCCACCCAGCTCCCTGCTAACGTGCCTGGGGCAGCAGAGGGCAGCCACGCGCTTGGGCTCCTGCACTCACAGGGGAGACCCACATGGACTTCCAGGCTCCTGCCTTCAGCACAGCCCAGCCCTGGCCGTTCTGGCTGTTCGTGGCAGTGACCAACAAACGGAAACTCTCTCTTTGTTGATTCTACTGTTAAGATGAAAAGGCCCCCAACAGTCTCCTGAGCCTGGGAGACACAGGGGCCCAGGGTGAGGGGAGGATCTCGGGACCCAGCTGCGCAGGGCCAGAGGCAGCACCCCATCCAAGGGGGCTGGGGCTCCAGTGCCTTGCTCCGAGACCCCCGTGAGCACGGAACACAGCACCAGCAGAGCAGGTGTCACCGACGGCCGAAGGCTGCGACACCCAGCCCCTGCCCGCTGCTGTTGGCTACCAGCCCCAGCCCCTGCCCGCTGCTGTTGGCTAACAGGGAGGCTGAGGGGCCAGGCCCTGGAAGTGGGGACTCCTAGGGCTCTCACACAGCTCGCAGGCTGCTCTGAGGCAGGCTCTACAGCCCAGGCACCTCGGGACGCCGCTGGTCCAGGAGCCTGGAGTCCCTTGCAGGAGCGGGCCAGAGTGTCAGCAACAGCACGCCGGCCTTCCTGTAACACACACTGTAACCCCAGTGGCCCCCCCGCCCAGCCACTCCCAGCCCGCTCCCTCCGGAAAGACACAGGCTGGTCTCGTATCTCTCCACCACGGTGCCACCCTAGGAGTGATTGCAATCCGACCCCAGCCCCAAACCCTCTACCCTGGACAGTGCCTGTGTGTCTGCTGCCTTGTGGGGGCACAGTGCTGTGCTGGGTGGCTCAGAACTCCACCCACACACCTGCAGCTGCGGTCACAGCCCACGGAGCCATGGGTCAGCATTCTTCATGCAATGCCAGCTCAACAGCATGCCCCAAAGACACCAACATCCTCCCCAGGAGCTGCCCCAGCAAAGTGGTGCCAGACAGGGACAAGGAGGCACCCACCCTCCCAGGGAGGAGTCCTTGGGGCCAGCGGGTGAGGGTCAGGTCACAGTGCCCCCACCGCAGGGGACTGCACGGCTAGATGGCCACTGACACTTCCACAAGCTGCTCCCTCCTCCCACAGGCCTGGGCACCAGGGCCAGCCACTGGGCACAACACCTGCTCGCTCCACGCACCACAGCCTGGTCTGGCTCCATCCAAGCCCACCAGGAAGACTGGGAGAGGGGCTTCCAGGCCCCTCGTCCTGCAGCTGCCCACGGTGCTGGGCATCACGGGGCTGGGCTGACAGGGCCGTGAGCTACCCGTGGGATATCCCACCCTGATAGCGACATCCCCAGGGAGAGCTCCCCCACCATGGGGCAGACGCCAGGGCTGGTCTGCAGCCACTCAGCCTCGGCAGAGAGGACCGGGTGCATCTGAAACGCTGCCCAAACTTCCAGGAAATGCGGAGCCCCGTGGGACCCAGCCAGCCAGCCAGCCTGCCCTGCTCAGGGGCGGTCAAGTTCAGACTCCCGTACTACTTGTCCCACTCCCCAGACAGCAGGAGCCAGCCTGGACGCAGCACCCCAGGCCCCGTCCACACACCCCAGCCCAACACCTTTGGTGCTCCGTAGCCTCCTGGCCCCGGCTGGAGAGGTCACCCGCACTCAGTGGCACAGGGGCCTCCAGCAGGGCCAGTCCAGGGACAGAACCAGAGATGGGACAACTGCAGGAGAGATGGGGGCCGGTTCCCAGAGAGCCGCTCACCACATCGCTCCCCCCTACTCCCAAGACAAGGCAGGGCCAGGTCAGGGTGCCGCTAGGGCCTCTCGGGTGACCTGCAGTCCACTAAAGCTGAGGAAGGAGCAGGTAGCCAGCGGACACCTGTCACATCTCACCTCCCCCCCAGGAGTCCTGAAGACAGAGGCACTCTAGGTGCAAATCCCCAGGGCTGTGAGTGCGAAGGGGCACCCGTGTGGCCTCACAGGGGCTGAGGGCCCGCCCGCCCCCTGGGCACCTGGGCCCAGCATGCCCGCGCCAACTTTCAGCAGTGGAAACAAAGGGGTACGCACAAAGCAGGCCCCCTGGGTCAGCCCACCCCCAATTCCGCCGCGTGCCTGGTGCCCACCTGGCCTCTGGTCACCGGCGCTCACGGGGTAGCCGGCCTGGCCCAGCTGGCACGGGTAGCAACCCCTCCAGAGATAGCGGTAGTGCGTGCCCCCGACCCGCGCCAGGCCCCCCAGGAGTCCGAGACACCAGAGCGCGGCCAGCCTGCAGCGACCCCAGGACGCCTCCATGGCCGCTGGCCGGGCGCTCTGCTCCGGTCACTCGGGGCGCCCCGCTCGCAGCCGCTCCGATCCGATCCGCCGCCCCGAGCAGCTCCGGCCTGGCGCGCCCCGCCCCTCGGCTTTATGTTCTCAGCTTTCCCTCCGCCCCCCGCAGGTAACAGCCAAATCCGGGGCCGCCCCGACTCCGCCCCGTCGCCCCCAAGGGCGCTGCCTCCACCCCAGCCCGTGCCGGAGCCCCCAGGGCCCCGCGCCCGCCCGGTGCATTCCTGCGCGCTGCACACAGACAGGACCCAGACAGCCCCACGCACAGGGACACCCGCGGAGGCAGGCGCAAGCTCAGGCTCCCGGCGCAGTAAGGCAGGGAAGAGAGCCACCGCGGATGGAAGCCTCCAGAACGAGCTCGAGGACGACTGTTGCCACAGCAGTCAAGTGGGTGCGCTGGGCGGGAAGAAGCCCCAACCGCAGGCTGTGTCCAGGCCCCACCCCCAGTGCACTGGGGTCAGCAGAGCCCCCGTTTCCCCATAGCAGGCAGGCAGGCCTGGGCTGGCGAGCAGGGTCGTTGCTAGCAGGCGCAGCCAGCAGCACAGGACCCTCCCCGGCTGCAGCCTTGCCCAGCACATCCTCCAGTCATCCCAGCCTGTCCATGGTAATCACATTCCTCCCTCCCTCTCCGCCCCAGAGCTGCACCCTGCAAGGTGTGGCCACTCACAAGGCCACTCAAGCAGGGGCCACCACCACACAGGAAGGGCCATGGGCAACAGAGAAGCTGGGTGAGCAGGTTACAGTGAGCCAGAGGCAGCTGGACCACGGACCCAGCCAGGCTCTGCTCGCCACCCGCCCTGCTGGGCAACCTGGAGCCTTCCAGAGGCAGGCAGCCTCTTTCAGCCCTGCACTGTCTCCTCTGGCGCAGGGCTGTCTGTCATGTAGAGCCCATCCCATCCCACTGCTGCCAGCAGGGCACCCAGGGACCTGTCTGTCACTGAAGCCCCCCGGGTGAGCCCCTGTGCCATCCCAGCCCTGTGGGAGCTGCCCACAGCCCACCACACCAATGGACTTCAACTCCGTAAATCTCCCTGACACGTTAGCTGTCAGCTGCTGCCCCAACGACACCTTCCCTGCCCACTTACCATCGTGACAGGTGGCAAGGCCTGTGCCCAGCAGCCTCCATGGAGGTAACCTCCAGCTTGCACAGGTGCAAGGGCCAAGAGGCAGCCTATGGGGGCAGGGGGCCCTCGGGGGACTGCAGTCATCTGAGGCAGGCACACCTGTCTTCTTTCTTGGAGTGCTAAGGGCAGTTCCCCTGGACAGCACCCAGACCCTCCACTGACCATCACAGCACCCCCCCGCCGGGGCAAGTGTGGGACCAAGAGTTGACAGGCAGAGGCTGGGTGGATGGCTGGCCGTGCACCAGCAGCCATGGATGGCTGGCCACTGTCCACACCACGGTGGACACCCAAGGCCAACCTCCGAGACCCTGACGGCACCCACAGCACACTCCCCGGGGAGGCCGTGTCCCGGGCCTGCCTGCCTCCTGGCCGCACTGCCCGTGGCCCTGCTCCCAGAGTCATCTTGGGTGTGGCCAGCCAGGCAAGGGCTGGATGGAGTCTGTCAGCAGACACTGGGACGCTGCAGGGCAGCAGACGAGTCCCGGGACCCCACTGGCCTCAGAATGCTTATCTAAGGGTGGGAGGGGCCTGAGCTATGGGACAGCAGGGCCGGGGTCATGGCCACTGAGCTCTGGACACCAAGGCGGGGGGCGCTCCCACAGCCCAAGCAGGTGCAGGGGGCTTGCACAGCCGCACACTTCCCACCACTCAGCAGATCCCGGCAGGGCTGCCCCATCTCCCCCGACTCCGTGTCCTCAAGGAGCCAGTCTGGGTCACCATGGCAGAGCCCCAGGCCACCGTGTCCCCTGGGGCTGCCCCTGTACTCAGCCCACTCTTTGCTCACTGCTCATCCATTCATTAGCTCACGTGAGACACACACGTGTACCCGCTGTGCTGGTACCCAGCCTTGGCACGCTGCAGCGACCACATCCGACCAGGACACACATCTGGTTCCAGGCTCCTCTGGAGGCCCAGCCTCACTGGGACTCGGGCAGCCCGGACAGCACCCACAGCGACCAGCGACCGAGGCCAGGGCTGCCGCCGAGCACACACAGACGGCGGCCGTGTGGTCTGGAAGCGGTTTGGGAAATGCCTTCCCGATGCAGAACCGCACTGGGCGTCCCTGCCACGGAATGTCTGCCTGTCAGCAGGAAGGACTCGCCCCCGCCCGCCGGCTCCAACTCTGCCCCAGGCTGCCAGCCACAGGCTCCCTGGCCATGACCCAGGCTGGGCAAGAGACAGTGCCACCCCCAGTTGCCACTCCTGCCCCCACGGCGGGGGCCCATCTTGTCAGTGTGAGCTTTGGAGCCAGGCTCTGCGGGCAGACTAGAAGGGGCCAAGAGTCTGAACAACCCCCTCCCTGGCTGAGCCCCTGGCTAGGACACATCCTCTGATGCAAGCAGCAGTGTCCCAAGTGGAAGTAGGGGAGGCCGAGAGGGCTGCCTCAGTGCCCCAGGGGTCAAGGCTGGGCTGGGGACCTGCCAGAGTGACCCCTGTGCACACCGCCCATGTACTCAGTACATGCCCCTGAAGGAGCAATTCTGGCCCCCAACAGGCGGTGCGGTTGGCAAAGTCCTGTGGGGGTGGGGGGTGGGAGAGAAGCCACCGCAGACCACTGTTCCCATCCCAAGACAGCGAGGGTCACAGGACCAGGCCACACCCCCAGGCGTGTTGGCAGGTAGGGCAGGGACAGGGGGCACCCGGGTGAAGTGGGAAGGAGCAGTCGGGAGACCCCGCCGCTGGCCAGCTCTGGATCCTAAGGGCTCCACCTGCTGGGGGGCAGAGAAGGTGGGGGTGCTGCCATGAGGAGGGCACAGGTGGAGGTGGGGAGGGGAGCGTGGGGGCCAGGGAGGCGGCTGCACGGGCCTAGGCTTCCATCTAGCCGAGCAGGAGCTCGTGGTCTCTCACACCCCTTCCCACGGGGGGTCAGGGGACACACACCTGCCCAGAGGTGCCCAGCTTGGACCTCTCCAAAGCCCACCCAAACCTTCTCCCAGGGCGTACTTCAGAGGCCAAACATGCAGGGCCCCCTAGGCCGGGAGCACCCCCAGCCCTTCCGGATCCGTCTCATGGTAAATCCATTACCAGTCCCGCCCGTGCCCCAAGCCAGAAAGGGAAATCCAAACCTCCCCAGTTGCTCCCCCTTCCGCAGCTGTGCCGGCAGGGGCTGCACAAGCCAGGGCACGTGCCCGCACACACACACAGCCGCAGACCCTGGGGACCCAGCATGGCACAGCCCCAGCTCACAGCGCGCCGGGCAGCAGGTGGCCTGAGGGACCCTCGGCACAGCTCCGGTCACAGGGGGCTGCTCGATGGACTGACTGTCCGGGGCACCTGCATCCCAGCCTCACCAGGGCTTCCTGACTCTGTCCTGGAACCAGGGAGTCTCCTCCACTCTGATCACCACGAGGTGAGGCTGACCACACCAAGAGCTGATTCTCACTGGAGCTGCCAGGGGCGCAGCCACTGGCTATCACAGGGTCTACGGAGCCAGAAACCAGGAATGGCAGTGGAGGGAGCCGGGACAGCCCAGTGAGCAGCGGGGTGGGAGGGCTGGCTGAAGCAGCCCATGCCCAGTGGCCCACCTGTCCTCTAGGACCGCCTCCTATGGGTTTCCGAGGCCAGGCTGAACCTGTCTGCGGGACACCAAGTCCAGAGGGGTGGTGGCCAGCTCCTGCTCACTGCCCCGGCCTGGTGGGCACCCCAGGGCCTCCAGCAGCACCTGAGCGGCAGCTGCCAAGGCACAGCTTTGGTTTCTGTTGCTTCCAAGGCTCTTGACACTGCCTTGGCCCCCCAGCTCCTACCTAGCCACCAGCAGGCCCCAAAGCAGAAGCTGCGTGGGGCAGGTACGTCCCTGGGAAGTGCAGAGAAGCAACGGGGAGGCCTCTGGGCTCCACCTCCACGCCCACCTCCACGCCCAGCCCACCCTCCGGCAGGGTCCTCAAGGCGACTTCACCTTCAGGAAACGGAGCCCCCACCTCTCAACCCCCGAAGCGAGAAACGAAGGTAGGATTTTGTGGGTGTGTGGCTGAGGACCCAGCAGGGCCAGACAGGAGGGTGAGAGAGGGCCAGGGACAGTGTCAGCGGGACTCCTCCTGGGGGATGCCCCAAAGGAGGCCAGGGCGTGGCAGGGAAGGTGGCCCCTGGGGGCAAGGTGCACTCCCTGTTGCAAACCATAGGAGCTGAATGAGCTAGAGAGAAGCTGTGGGTGCAGGGGCACCAGGTGGGGGTGGGAACTCGTACAGGAGAGGCCAGGCAGGGTGTCGAGCAGGGGTGTGGGGGAGCGAGTTGAGAGCAGGGAGAACAGGGTGGTGGACAGGGCTTGATAGGCGGTGGGAGAAGGTGGGGAGGCTGGAGTGGCCGGCAGAAACCCGCCCCTCAGGGACATGAGCTCTGCCAGCCCCCAGCAGGCCGAGCAGACACTGCAGTCCTGGGGCCCCAGGCCGGCACCAGGCAGGGCAGGCACGGGGGAGAAAACATCTTCCTGGACACTCAGGCCAGCCGAGACCCCAGGAGCAACAGGGGAGAAAGCTGACTGAGGCTCCCTGGCCGCCCTCCCTGCCTCGCACACCCTGGCTCTGCAGTGAGAGCTCTGCCACCAGCCGACCCTCCTCCCAGTCCAGGGTAGCCCCGCCCCGCTAGAGAATTGGGGTTCACTGCCCAGGAGTATCCACGTTCTCGGCCTGAGCCCCTAGGGCTACGCCTGTCCATAGCCCTCCCCTCAGGCTCCAGTGGCCAGCTCAGCCCCCACCTGCACAGATGCCCAGAACGCAGCCACACGGAAGCTGCAGGCTGTCCACTGTGCAACTTCCTACTGACTTGCACATCCATGGCAGCCAGCGGCAGTCCCCCTGCAGGTCTTGGGCCAACACTGACGGCCATGGCTTGGCTGTGACCAAGAAAAAACCTGCCAGGAGTGACCCTGAGCCGAAGCAAGGAGGTGACAGCTCCAGCAGCTCGGACGCCTGCGTGGAGCCCCATCAGCCTGCCAGAGGCACGCAGGTGTGTGACCGGCAGCCCAGGGACAAGGAGCCAGGGAGGCTGGCTGTGGGGGCAGGATGCTGGCTCCGCGTGGCTCTGCAGCCCTGGGGCTGGGCAGGCCTCGCCTCCCCCTGCCTCAGTCCCCTCCTCTCAGAGGCACTTAGGGAGACGCTCTCACACGGGGCCAGACGGCTGGATGTGGACCGCATGGTCACTGGGACTTCACCAGGCACACTGGGCCCCAAGCAGTGGAAATGGGGGGCTGGGTTAGGGGTAGGTAGAGGTGGCAGTGCCAGGCCCTGCAGACAGAGCCAGGGTCCCAGGATGCATAGGGAGAGACCTACAGCATGGCTCCTGGGAGCAGGCATGGCCCGGGGCCTTGGGGTACCTGCCCTGGCACAGGATCTGCAGCAGCTGCCCTGCCCTCCCCCCACAGGGCCAGCACAGCTGGCCTGGATCAGGCACCTGTCAGCGGCTACGTCACTTCCACATTCCTGCCTCTCCCTGGGGATCGCAAGGCCTGCCAGCGCCCTAGATAGTGAGGCCGAGCATGGGTGAGTGACGGAGCCAGGGCCGCCACAGTCGCAGGCATCCAGGCTCCCTGGGGACAGCAGGGCCGTGGGCTGTGGCTGACCCACCTCACACGGTCCCCCTGCCCCTGAGAAAGACCAGCCCCACAGCATCTGCCCAGGCTTCTCCCAGTGCCCCCAGTGAAGGCCCCTGTCCCACCCTGGCAGCCCAGGGACCAAGCCCTCTGCACCCCGCCCACCATCTGGCCCTTTCCCAGGTCCCCCCTTGTCTCCGAGAAGTAGCAGGGGCAGCTGGGTGGGTTTGCGCCTCTGGGGTGGGAGGCCACCAGCTCCCAGCCTCACATCCCTCCAAAGGGGAGAGGACAGGTCCCCCCATGATGACATCATGGGGGTCTGCTGGCCACATGGGGCGGGAGCCCTGGCACAGCCCGGGGTGCCTTTGGGAATGGGGAGCTTCTGGGGCTGCTACAGACACCTGCCGTGGTCCCCCAGGCTGACGAGGCCTGAGACCCTCGCAGCGAGCAGACACAGGAGACAAGTGGCGGGGTGCAGCGGGCCAAGGCAGCAGACAGCACTGACCGGCCCTGCTGGCAGCTGGCCCATCATGGGGGACGCTGCTGCTGGCAGAAGCTGGGCCACGTCCCTGGAGGCAGACAGCATAACGCATCCCATTCACAGACCAGGAAACTGAGGTCCCGTTTATAGACCGGGCAGTGAGGTGCTCACAGAGCTCAGCTCAGCAGGGACACCAAGTCCATCCCGGCTGAATCAGGTCTGGCCCTGGAGGGTCATTGCAGGGACAGCTCACAGGCTCCCCACCTGCAGTGGCCGTGGGGCACAGCTGGCAGCGGCAAGCACCAGGTCCCCCGGGAGAGCAGCTGCTCCATCGGCCAGCCTGGTCACGCAAACTCCGCTGGGCGCTGGAAGGTCTTCCACGGCACAAGACACGTCCACCTGGAGACCAAGCCCTGGCGCCCACACAGAGCTGTGCACACCACCCCATCGCCCAGAGCCTCTCCACTGGGGGGGCACCCGCCACCCTGCCCCTTCCCTGGGGAGTGTCTCCAGCTCTTGCCCTTGGCGCCTGGGCCCCTCTGAGCCCCGCAGCCCTAGCCCATGCTCTCTGGCTGAGGACAGAGACACAGCAGGCTCCTGGCTGTCAGCACAGCCCCCCTCAGCCACGCGTGACTCACAGCCCCAGCCATCCCAAACACGCAGCGCTGGGGGCGGCAGACTCCCTGGGTGGGGGGGCGGGGGGGGCGGCGAGGCCAGGGAAGGGACAGGCAAGAGCTGGGCCAGGCCGCAGGACCGGGGGCACACCCAGCCAGGGCGGCCTCCATGCCCCTACCTGCAGCCTGTCTCCTTAGGGGAGCTCAGAGGAATGCACAAGGAAGCCGGCCCCAACCTGCTGGCTGGCGCTGTGCTGGGCTTGGCGGTGCCCCTCTGCAGGGCCGACTTCCCATGCCAGCCCTGGGCCCAGGGCAGCCACCGCCCACCCGAGCAGCTCGGAGCCACAGCCTTCCCGGAAGCAGGAACTGTGAGAGCCAGTGGAGGGTGGCAGTGGTGGCCCTGTCCTCTGGGGCCCCAGACATCCCCACAGGGACCCTGCCCTCTCTGGCCAGGCTGGTCATGGGTTTAACTCTAACCCCATCATGGCCGAAGGCAGCCCTGGCCAGGGACTGCTGTGTGGCCAAGCATCTCTGCCCCCTGAAGGCACGCACAGGTGCGCCGTGTGGCTTAGGACAGAGACCAGCAGGGCAGCCTGCTGGGGCCCTGCAGCTCCTCCCTCGAGAGCCCCCCGATGCAGAGCCCCCAGCTGCCCAGCCCAGACAGCAGGGCTGCTGTCACAGGAGCAGACCCCGTGGGCCGTATGACACCCCCTCTGTGGCCATGCCTGGAGCCACGGAGGGCAGCGGGTATGGCGGGAGGGCAGGCACTGGCAGCTGGCAGCCCCTCCAGTCCCTAGGCTGGGCATCCCTCCCCCACCCCGGGTGACCTGCCCTGGAGCCGGAGGAGCAGGGGCAGCGCGGGGGGCGGGTGGGTGAGCAGCTGTCCCCCAGGCTCCCAAGCCGTCTGGGGAACCCCCAGGCCTCCTGCGGGTCATGGGAACATGCTGGCAAGAAGCGAGAGCGCTGTGTTCCCAGGCCATCCGGGCGGGGCGGCCTCCCCGTCTTCCCCGACCCTGGCCTGACAGACAGCTCGCAGCTGGACAGCGGGCGGCTGCTGGCGGCTGGCTCAGCTCAGGCCGCTCCAGGAGACCGTCTGAACTTGTGAGCGCAGGCCACAGGTGGCTGCTCCTGCTGGCCTGAGGGTTCTCCCAGGGCCTCAGCTGCCCAGGCGACCCTGACAGGGGCATAGCAGGGCATGCCTCACCCCCCCACCCCCGTGCCTCCTGGCTCCAGCTCCTCTCTGGGGACTCCCTGTGTCTGTCCTTGACTTTGCTTCCAGCCTCAGACCACCAAGTCCCACACATGGGCTCCCACAAGCCTCGGCTCCCTGCAGCCAGGTGTGACCACAGCCCCAGGCACCCCGGGCACCTCCCTCCAACCCCTGCTCCTTCCAGCCAATGTCAGCGGTGGGCACCAGATGAGAGCATTGTCCACATCTAGCGGGTGAGCCGCCGGCCGGACAGGACCTCCCCGCCACCCCCAGAGGGTGCCTTTCTTTGGCCCTGCTGTGCTCTGGGCTAACTGACCGCTAGAGCCCTCAGTGCCCCCAGGAACACCAGGACTGCCCAGCTTCCCAAGCGGTCACCCTCACAGCTGCCCAGTCCCACACCAGCCTCTGGGTCAGGAGCCCCAGGGAATCCTGGGAGTGGTCCAGGTGGCTGGCAGGGCTGGCAGGACCCTCAACCTGGCTCCTGCCTGGGCAGGCACAGCCCCCTGGCCTTCCTGCTCACACTCCCATTGGCTGAAGACCAAGAAACGGAGGCTGCCCACGGAGGATGAGGCCACGCTGGGCCTGGCCTGGGGCCTCTGCCCGCCTCTGCAGAGCTGCCCCGGCTGAGGCCCAGGTCACGCAAACTGCTCAAGGCCGAGCTGTCAGTGGACAGAGCCTGGAGCAGGCTCACAGCCAGTGGGACCCCAACCCGCCTCGGACACAAGCCCCACCTGCCCAGGGGCCGCAGAGCCCAGCACCAACCCCGCCGGGCCTGGCCAGCCCGCAGCTCTCCCAGTTGTGGTGTCTCTCACTGCACCTCTTGGGGGGCTGTGCCTGGAGGCCCTCCCCGGTGGGGGGAGCCAAGCCCTATGAGAAAGGCTGTGCAAGAACAGCAGAGCGGCTGGCCTGGACGGCTGGGACGCAGCTGCCAGCCTGGTCCCCCTTGAGGGCTGTGTCAGAGCTGGGGTGCCCGAGCTTCCCCGTGGGCCCAGGGAGGTTAACGAGGCCACCCGTATCTAGCAGTGCTGGGCCTCAGGACAGGGCAGCTCCACAATGTCCACCCCAGACCTTCCTGGGCAGGTGGGTGATGGTGCCCACCGCGGCCCGGGCCCCCAGGGCTCCCCACAACCACAGAGAAAGCCGCAGGTCTGAGCCAGGCATGGCAGCCCCCTTGGCCTCCAACTGCCCATGCTGTGTGCCCCTCCACTGCTCGGCTGGGCCTCTCTGGGTGCCCACAGCCCACGTGGCGGCACCAGGTGACCCGTCCATGGTGGACCATAAGTGCCTCAGGACTGGCCCCTCTCACCTCAGGTCCCCCACCCAGCCAGCACCCCAGGGGGTCCCAGGCCATCCTGATGGAATGTTAAGTGAATGTCAGGCACCTGTAAGGGCCTCCAGGAGGGAGCTAGAGCCAGGCAGCTGGGCCAGCCCGTGGGGAGCAGCCATCAGAGGGATCCAGGGCCACAGTGGGGGACAGGACGGGGCAGCCACATCCCCAGTGGTGCATGGCACACATCTGTCAGGCCTTCAGGAGCCTGGCATGCAGGTGCCAGCCCCCAAAGGTTGCCCTGCCACATCTTACCAACACCCACGCCAGGGACCCCTGCTCTCTCCGCAGCTGCAGGAGGAGGCTGAAGCCACCAGACAGAGGGCAGGGCATCGCGGGGAAGGCCGGCGGCCCTGCTCCCACCCCGCTAGCAGGTTCCACCCAGAACACATAGACGCTTGCACTCGTAGCCCACTGACCCACACATTCACCCACGGGCAGTGGGTAGCAGAGGGGTGTCCACCCACAGGTACCGTGATGAACCAAGGCTCAGTCACTAGCAGGCGTGACAGACATTGCATGGGGTCTGGAGAACTTGAAGCTAAAGATGGAAGAGAGAAATCCACAGGGGTGGGCAAGACGCCGGTCATCCCGGCGGGGGACGAGGAGCGGGCAGGACGCCGGCAATCCCGGGCACGCTGGCCATCCTTGGGGGGACGGGGAGCGGGCAGGACGCCGGCAATCCCGGGCATGCTGGTCATCCCTGGGGGGACGGGGAGTGGGCAGGACGCCGGTCATCCCGGGCATGCTGGCCATCCGGGGGGGTACGGGGAGTGGGCAGGACGCCGGTCATCCCGGGGGGGGACGAGGAGCGGGCAGGACGCCGGCAATCCCGGGCACGCTGGCCATCCTTGGGGGGACAGGGAGCGGGCAGGACGCCGGCCATCCCGGGGGGGACGGAGAGTGGGCAGGGAGGTGCTGGTCCTGTGAGGGAGTGTGGGCTGTGTGCACCTGCTGGATGCCACTGAAATTCATGTAACGTGAATTTCACCTGGATCAGAAACCAGACTGAGATCTTCAAGGGAATGGAGCAGAGGGGGGAGGGCACCCAGGCCCGGAGCTGTCTTCAGGGGCCCCACCTCGCCCCACCTGCCCCCCACCTGGACTTTGGGGGCCGAGCCTCAGCCTCCCCACGCTGGCCCAGCCTCCCCACGCTGGCCCAGCCTCCCCGATGGTGGCGGGGACACATGGCAGACCCTCCCCCAGGTGTCCATCTGTCGCCTGGCACAGTGATGGACGGGCACCCCGTGTGGGCGGGGCCCAGTCCATCTGCTCGGAGCAGCTGCTGGAGCTGCCCACCAACTGGAAGCTGCAGATCCCCTCAGCGTCTCTCCCACGGCCCCTGCTCCCCGTGCGGGCAACAAAACGCGTTGCCCAGGAGCGTGAGCCCGGGACGCGAGGCCCCCACAGCAGGGATGCATGGGTGTGGAGCGCAGGCTGCAGGTTGCTGGGGGTCACAGGGCCCTGTGGGTGGGAAATGGGGAGTCCCTGGGGAGAGCTGCTAGCGCCACCCTACTCTGTCCCTCCCTGGCCTTCTCTGTGGCAAAGCTGGCTCCCAGAAGTCCCCAAGCTGCACCCAGGGTTCTGGCTGTAGCTGTCCCCATCAGCCCAGGCTCCAGCACAAGCGCTCTGGACCTTCAGGGAGAGGGCAGGCGATGCCCACGGGGTCTGAGGAGCCTCCCTCCTTGCGTGTGTTTGGGCTCAGCCAGAAGCCAGGGTCCCTGGGATGTGGACTCCAGGCTGGCTTGGCCTCTGGGGACACAGGGCCCCATCCCCAAATCCCCTGGGCTCCAAGGGGACAGAAACACGTGGTGTGGAGACGCCAGGCAGATCCAGGCGGGCCCCGTGCAGCAGACACGAAGGCGTAGGCACCAGGGCCCCCTGGGCTTGGCCCAGGCCCTCCTGAGCAGGAGCCCACAGCCCTGGCTGATGTTTGCAGCTGCATGGGGCCCCAGGGAGCTCTCCCCACCTTTTTGGGTTCCCACCCTGCGCCGCCAGGCCCGGCCCCTGCCTTGGCTTGTACCAGAAGCTCCACTGAGCTTCTGAGCTCCCAAGGCAAGGAACTGCCAAGAAGGGTGGGACAGAGCTGGCAACCACAGGTAGACGCACCCCTGCCCCTGGCTGGGGAAATCCATTGTCTCAGGACCTGAGCCAGCACCCTCCACCCCAGGGCAGGTGAAGGCTGCCCAGGGCCCGCCCCTGCCCACCCTCCTGCAGGCCCAGGCCAGTGGGGCCCCTTCTCCAAGTTGGATGCCCATGGCCAGGCTGTGCCTGTCACAAGGGATGTGACCTCATGCCCTGGGCACCAAGCCAGGGCGCCCGTGTGAACAGCCCCCACCAGGACTTTACAGGGGAGCCCCACCGGTAACAGCACCCAGGATCCTGGGCCAATGGGTCCACCCCATGAACTTCCTAGGATGGACAAGTGTCACGCTGGCATTACATAGCTGGCAAGGGAACGGGCAGGCCTTGAACTGCTCTGTGCAAGGAATGAGACGCGTTGGCTTGCCTCCCCCTGCAGCCAGAGGGAGGTAGGGATTCCACAGTGGGCTTCCCGGCCACTGCTGCCAAGGCCACTTGGGGGCAGGTCCTGGAGGTGGTATGTCCACTCTGGGAACACCTGCAGGATGGCCACCCCAGGCTGGGAAATGGGAGTTCAGGATGGACCCTTCAGAAGGCAGAAGAGACCACCCCACGGTGACAGGTGGCCAGGGCACATCACAGCAAGATCCAAAAGGGGCGGAGCCTGGGGCTGGAGGTGGAGCCTGGGATGGGGTGAAGCCTGGGGATGGAGTGGAGCCTGGGGCAAGGAGGCAGAGCCTTGGAATGAGAGGTGGAGCCTGGGGATGGGATGGAGCCTGGGGCTGGAGGTGGAGCCTGGAGATGGAGGTGGAGCCTGGGGCTGGAGGTGGAGCCTGGGATGGGGTGGAGCCTGGGTATTGGGTGGAGCCTGGAGATGGAGGTGGAGCCTGGGGATGGAGGTGGAGCCTGGGGATGGAGGTGGAGCCTGGGGATGGGGTGGAGCCTGGAGATGGGAGGTGGAGCCTGGGTATTGGGTGGAGCCTGGGGATGGGGTGGAGCCTGAGGATGGAGGTGGAGCCTGGGTATTGGGTGGAGCCTGGGGATGGGGTGGAGCCTGAGATGGAGGTGGAGCCTGGGGATGGAGGTGGAGCCTGGAGATGGAGATGGAGCCTGAGGATGGAGGTGGAGCCTGAGGATGGAGGTGGAGCCTGGGTATTGGGTGGAGCCTGGGGATGGGGTGGAGCCTGGGGATGGGGTGGAGCCTGGAGATGGGAGGTGGGACTGGGCCGGCCTTGCCCCATTTTCCCAGTCTGCCTTTAGTTGGTGCCCGCAGTGGGTAGGGTAGCAGCTGCGAAGAGACACAGCGTCCTGACCTCTAGAGCCCATTTCTGTGCCACCTGCCCCACACAGGGTGCATCAAGGCCAACCTCAGATCCACAACACAGCCTTGACCCGACACCACAGTCGGGTGGGAGGCTGACAGCCAGTGGCGAGGACGCGGGATGTGGCGGTGGCAACCGGCAACAGAGAAAGAAGCCACACCCCAAAGCTGCGAAAGGGGTGGACAGAGCCTCCCCTGGAGGCCCCAGGAGGACCTGGCCAGGCCTCCCCTGATTCAGCCCAGAGAACTGCAAGGGGACAGACCCATGAGGTTGTGGACTGCTAGGCCAGCAATGCCTGGGACAGGTCAGCATCTCCCAGAGATCAGAACTGAAGCCCTGTCCACCTGCCGGCTCTGCGCATGGCCCCAGCCAGTGGCAGGGTCAGCCTGCCCACTACTGCCTACACAAGCCCCCTGCTAGGTGGCCACCTCTGCCCGGCAGCCAGAACATTCCAAGCCTCGTTCTCAGGCGGCTTGCCCCACCTCAGCAAGCTCCAAGAAGCCCTGAGCTATCCACGGGCACCCAGAGGTCCCTCTGTGCAGGCAATGCTTCTGTGCCAGCTCAGCGCCAGCTCAGCCAGGCTATGCTGGAGGGTCGGCATCCCCAAGCAGGGGCCATCTCTCCATCTCACCTAACCACAGCCAATCCCAGTCACTCCGGGCGGCTCCAAGGCTGAAGGGTCCCCTTCCCCCCTCCCACCTCTGCCTCCATCTCCCTGCCTGGGGTGTGCCTCGCCCACTACACCCCTGCCTGGCGCATGCCTTGCCCACTACACCCCTGCCTGGGGCGTGCCTCCTATACCAACCCCTTCCATGCCTTCTTGCTTCCCTCCCAGCTGCAGGCCAAAGCCACGCCCCCAACCCAACAGTGACCCTGCCACACTAGTGCCTGGGACTGGCCTCAGAAGGACACCTGCGGCCCGGCCGCCCAGCAGCCTGCCATGTGGCCACCATGTCCCCCAGCAAACCAGTGCCCCAGGACACCCTGGCAAGCCCCTGCCTGTTGCTGGGATGGGGGTAGGCACAGTGCCTGTGCAGCTGGCCTGGGCCTGGCCATGGAAGACCTCAGCCCATGGCCACTCTGTGTCAGCCAGCAAGTACTGGGGACAAGCCCAGCTGCAAACACAAGGCAGGGAGGACCATGTGCAGGACCACGTGTCAGGTCTTACTCAGCCCTGCTTTGGGATGCAAGGAGAAGCCCTGGGGCTTGGGGGAGGGCAGTAGTGCAGCACGCATGCATGGGAACCCTGGGCTCATCTCACAGCTGAGGTCTCTCTCTGTTAGGCCAGCGTGGGGTTTATCACTGAGTAGAACACAGCGCCCCCTGGTGTCTCCTTCCACCACATCAGCATCTGGCCGTGGTGTGGCACAGGGTGACACAGGCCACGTGACAGGAGGCCACGTGACAGGGGCACCCCGTGCCTCGGGACAGCAGCCACACGTGGCCACAGGGACACACAGGCCACTCCCAGAGACCACGTGAAGGGGGCATCCTGTGCCTCGGGACAACAGCCACATGTGGCCACGGGGAGACACAGGTCACTGCCAGAGGCCACGTGAAGGGGGCACCCCATGCCTCCGGACAGCAGCCACACGAGGCCAACCCCATGGCATCACATCAGGCGGAGTGGCTGCCCTAAACCCCCCATTCCAGTTGCTGCCTGCCCTGCGAGGGCTGACCTGTTTGCTGAGGGGGACGCTCAGGTAGGCCCTGGTTTTAGGGGGACCCCCCCAGGTGCCAACAGCCCCTTGCCAGCTGTGGCATCCAGGGCAACACAGGCCCCGCCTGCTCCAGTGCCAGGGCCACCTGGGAAAGGCCCTCCCAGCACTGTAGTCCTTGCCCTCAGACCAGCCATGCGTGGCCAGCATCCCTCCGGCCCTCGGCTGCCCCAGTCACAGGTCCAGGGGCCGCCCCCTCAGGAGCCCAGAGGTGGTCCGCAGCTCGGGAGCAGCTTCGAATCCTCATGAAGCCCCTGTGGCGTGGGCAGGCGGTGCCAGGAGGGGAAGGACCACTGGGTAACTCCAAGAGAAGCAGGCTTGACTGCAGGGAGGAGTGTCAACCTGGGGCGGAACTGTGGGGTGGGCCAGGGCGAGGCTGGGGAGTGCCACCAGCCACCGCCCCCATGGGAGACTCATGGGGGCCAACCCACGGGGGCCCGGCAGTGGAAAGCAGTGTACACGGCTGGGCTCCACCAGGTCTGGTCCCCCGCACGCACTGGACAGCACGGACGTGGGAGTTGGAATCCTCCTGCTTGTGTCTGGCGCAGCAAGCCCAGTGGGAGCCAAGAACATTCTTCAGGTCCCCCCAGCCAGCTCCCGCTCCCCGCCGTGGCCTCGGTGCAGCCAGGAGGGGCTGGATGGACCAAGCCGGCACATCCTCACTCCCACCTGACCCCCTGTCTCTGTGAAAGGGCTGGTTCCCACCCGGACCCATGACAGGGTACGGGCTGCAGGCCCGCCCTCGGGCTCAGCCAGCTATCCACTCTCTGCTCACTTCTCCCAGGCCTCTGGCCAGCGAAGCACCTCCCCCACCCAACGCCAACAAAGGGGGCTGTTCCCTCCCTCTGGACCCCGGACCCCCGTCACCCGGGGCCCCCAGCTCAAGTCACCACCCCCTGTGGCCACACAGCCCAGTCCCTGGAATCCTGCCTCCGCCCCTGCTTCTGGAGGGGGTTCCTAAAGCAGGTGTCAGGCCCCACATCACCCCCGACTCACTGCTCTGGGCCACCTGACCCCGGGAGACGCCCTCCCAGCCCGGCTCAGTCTGCTGGAACCCACCTGCTGGAGCTCCCCACCCCTGGCCTCTCTCTGGCCTTGGTAGCTGACCCCAGGGCAAGACCTGGTGTGCTGGAGCCCAGATAGACACAGTATGGAAAGGGCAGCATGGGGTACCCTGGCCGTTCCCCTGTCCGGCCTGGAAGCTCCCTCCCAAGTCTGGTCCTCTCTCCACCATCCAGGCCCCCACTCCTGTGCTGGACACATGCTGGAGTGGACGAGACAGAGACGCAGTGGACCCAGAGCAGGCCCAGCCTCAGTCCCAGGCCTTCACCGGCAGCTGGCTCCTGGTCCTAGCTCATGGCTGTGGCTTTCCTGTCCTGCCGCCAGGGGGCGCCCATGTGCCATCCTGGACCCGTGGATGGGGCCAGCAGGGGAAGCCTGCAGCTGGGGCAGGAGGGACCCTGAGCAGCCCTGCACCTGCCCCATGTGGGCAGGGAGAGCTGCGGAACTGTGGGTTCTGGGACACCCCTCCCCCCAGGGGGCATCTGGGTGAAGCCCCCAGGCCTGTCACCTCCAGCTGGGTGTTCCAGAGGTGCCACCGGCCTCCATACCATTCATTCACTCCCTGGGGCAATACTCGCTTAAGGCCCTGCCCAGCACAGGCTCCAGTACGGTGCTGAGATGGTGACCCCAAGGTCCCACAGAAGCCTCTATGGTGACAGGGGTCTTTCCACCCCAAATGCCCCCCAAGCCTGATCCGCACGGGCCACGCAGCCTGGTCCGCACAGGCCACGCAGCCTGATTCACATGGGCCACGCAGCCTGGTCCGCTTGGGCCACGCAGCAGGACACCACCCTTCCTGGAGTGACCACAGGAACCCAGACACATCACGCTGGGTCTTCCCAGCCGCACATAATTACGATGGAGACAAGAGGCCACACACAGCTAGCCCAGGGCTCGTCTGGCTGCCTGCTTGCTCCAGGCTGGCCATGCATCCCACCAGCCCGAGGCCATGGCTCACAGGCCTCAGGGGCCAGGCTACCAAGTCCTACCGTCCCCAACACCTGCAAAACACCGGGGTTTCTGACAACCCTCTGGGTTTGGGAGGTGAGCAGGTGCGGAGAGCTGGACTGGGAGGTAGGCATCTCCGGCCATGGATTACAGAAGGGGCCCTGGCAGGTGACCCTTGCACCAAACCAGAGAGCTTGGCCACCTGCAGTGCAGCCAGCAGAGGGGGAAGCTTGGCTGCGTGGCCAGCCAGTCTACAGCGCCCCCGTGTCCACGCCGACCCACATGGACCTGAGCCAAGATCTCTGGGCACCTTCCATGTCTGCCAAGGATGTCACCACAGCCCCCTTCCCGACAAGCAGGGCTGGAGCCTGTGGGTCCCACACAGGGCACAGGGGCCATGGGGGGTGGCACTCCAATAGCCCCCTCCCAACGAGCAGGGCTGGAGCCTGTGGGTCCCACACAGGGCACAGGGGCCATGGGGGGGTGGCACTCCAACAGCCCCCTCCCAAAAAGGAGGGCTGGAGCCTGTAGGTCCCACACAGGGCACAAGGGCCATGGGGGGTGGCACTCCAACAGCCCCCTCCCAAAAAGGAGGGCTGGAGCCTGTGGGTCCCACACAGGGCACAGGGGCCATGGGGGGTGGCACTCCAAGAAGGGAGAGGTAGGGCGAGCCCAGCAGCCTGGCCCCCGGGAAGCTGGCCTCCCTTGAGGGACTGAGTGGCCCTCTGTAGGCTGGTGGCACGCAGTGACACGCCACATAGGGCGCAGCGCATGCCACTTACTCCCCGCCCCCCCAGAACCATGTGAGGGCAGAGGTCACCCCAAGGAAGCCCCCAGCCTGACACTCCAGCTTCCTGTGCAGGCCCTGTGGGGAGCCCTCGAAGACGGGTCAGCCTCGGGCAGTGCCCACCTGCTCTGAGCTCAGTGTCCCTGCAATGAGTGACCACACCCCTCGGCACCAGGCCACGGGGCTAGCGTCCGGTGCGTCGGCCAGCACGCGGCCACTGCCCTGGGGCCAGCACGTGGTCACTGGCCTGGGACCAGCACGCAGTCACTGGCCTGGCTTGCCACACTGGCAGTTGCTGACCTAGCTTTACCCCTCCTCTTCCTGGGGCAGAAGGCACAGTGCCAGCCCCAGGAGCCAAGGCTGTGCCCAGGAAGCTGTGACAGGCTGGTGTCCCTGGTGCGTGGAGAGGCCTGGCTGGGCTCAGCATCACAGTACCTGAAGGCCAGGGACCCTCCGAGGGGCTTGGTCAATGGCTGCATGCCGGCCAGGCCTCGCCACCCCAGGGCTCCCTGGGCCTGTGGGCACCAGTGCTGACTGCTGCTTCTGAGCCAGGGTGGCCCGGGTGGCCCTGGGTAAGTAAGGATGGCCTGGGCAGCCCTGGACCCATGACTCCTGGTGCCTGGACATCTGTCCCATGGACAGTGCTGCTGTGAGGGGGCTTTCCTGCTGCTCCGGGTCCCAGCCAGCAGGTTCTGGCCCGAGACACCTGCACTGCAGCCCCGCACAGAGGCCCTGAGAAGCTGTCGGCCCCTCACTGCTGCCTTCCCAGCCACACTTGTCCTGTTAGCTGGCCTGGCTCAGCGTGATGCTGCCCAGACCCAGGCTGGACTGGACGCAGAGGGCCGAGCCCTGCCCTGGAATGCCTGGGGCAGACGCGGGCGCCAGCCTCCCAGCTCACAGCCCCTCATTAATCACCCCGCCCCAGCACGCCTGAACGCCAAGATCAGCAGATTTCCCTGGAATCTGCCTCCCTGGACAGCCCCCGGCTGGGGCAGCCAGTGCTCGGTGAAGCTGGCACGAGGCAGCACCTGGCTAGCACTGCGGGCAGCTCGGGAAGGCCGGGCGCTTCCCCGCTGGACGAGACCCTGCAGGTCAGTATTGCCACAGGTGTCCCCACAGACAAGCCCCTCCACTGGGGGCACTGGGCCGTTTCCTCGCCATCCCCCTCCCACTGGCTTTCTCCACACCCCGATCAGGTAACCTAGAGGGCTGCACTGGAGACACGGACAGCAGGGAGTGGGCACAGCTGGGCACAGCACCCTGAGGTACACACAGGGAGGCGAGTCTGCAGAGCTCCAACAGGGACCAGGGAGTCCGTTCTAATCCAGAAAGCAGTGTGGTTAACGGACCTGTGCAAGGACCCAAACTGGACCGCGATTCCCATGAGACCCACGCCCTAACACAGGAGACCACGCCCTAACACAGGAGACCACGCCCTAACAGGAGACCACGCCCTAACAGGAGACCCAAGCTTGGCAGGACAGACCTGTGGCTGTCACCGTGACCCCCACTCAGGCTGCACATGCGTTAGGAGGAAGCCCACCTGGGGAAGCTTGTGTTCCATGTGGGACCAGCCCTGTCACAAAAGGTTCTGACAACACCGGAGGGGGGCCTAGGACCCCTGCAGGACACCCGAGGGGGACCCAGGACCCCTGCAGGTCCAGCACCGCTGGAGGACTGGCTCTCCTGGGAGGACGCAGCTCACCCGGGCCTTGCTCCAGGGCCTTGGGGAGTGGCTCTGGGCTTTCCTGATGCAATTCCAGCTAAGCAGGAGAGGCCCTGGGGAGGTGCACCCTGGGCCCTGTCCCCTTCCTGGCTCTGGAGAGCTGGCTGCCCTGGCCAGGGCTGGCTGCGACCCTGGACCCCATGCCCTGGGGAGCTCACTGCTTTGGTCAGGTGCTGTGGCCCTGGACCCCCGTCCCGAGACCTGGGGGTCCTTGCGGGTCGCAGCTGCTCAGGGTCCTGTGTTGCAGGTGAGGGCAGGGCCAGGACCACCCCAGACCCAGAGAGAAGGGCCTGCCTGGGGCCTCCTGAGGGACACAAGAAGCCCCCGTGTGCACCTGGCACGCAGGTCCCCAGCCCTTGAAGAGCCTCTAGGACTGGGGTGAGGGAAGATCCTGCACTAGCTGGGGTGTGCCCACCCCC